AAAATATCTGTTTTTGCAGCTGGTTTTATGTACAGTGTTGGTAGAGTTAGACAGTATCACAGATACAAATTGTATCTCTTTTCTCTTATAGTTTATGTTAACTACGGTATCGAGTATCTTTTTCTTTTAAAATATATAAGATACTGAAATAAAATGTATATTTGATAGATTTTATTTTAAATGGCAAGGAAGAATTTATCAGTATAAATACCTTTTCATAAACATTAAAATAGACGTTCTTTATATTAATTAATAATACAAAACGTTTACCTTTAATTATTAATTTTTATTATATTATATTTTATATTATTCATCTTAAAAATCGTAGGTTGTTATAATTATAATTGTTAAATTTATTATTTAAATTAGAATAAGCCTGATAAGTTATAACAAAATATTTTCTAAATTGATATTGAATTATGCAAATTAAAAGTATCTTGTATCTTGTATGTACAAATTTATATATTTGGAATCAAGATATTTTTTTTGAGTATATTGCCCAATACCGAGTGTTGGGCAAAATGTTTTCGAATGAAGTTAAGATGAAGCTCGGTAGTGAATAACTGGTGATTTATTTAAGTGGGTACACTCACTATCTCGGAAAATTTTAATTTTTTCCGGAATTTGTTTTTAAATATTTAAGAAATAAGCTTTTCTACAATTTTATATTTATGTTATTTTTTGTCACCCTTATTTTGGGGGTAAAACTACTATTTACTTTTGATTTTCAAATGACAACCTTTATTAAAAATTCCATAAATATATGGAGTATTAATTAAAATAAATTTTAGTGTTGACATTTTTACATCAATTGACATGTTGACATCAATTCTATTGACCAGATATTCCACTTTTAATGTTGGGTTGGAGAAGAGTAGTGGAGTGTTATTTGTGTGGCGGTACAGAGCGTGGCGTGTTAAAATAATAAATATGCAGAAAGTAGTAATGAGTTTAAAAATTATGTTTTTAGTTAGTTGTTAAGTTAATATTAACTTAGCTGTTAACATTTTAGTGTTTTAATAACTAAACTTTAAAAACTCCATTTATTTTGTTTCTATTAACTCAATAAATGACGAGCTAAATTTGAATTAAATCACGTGAAGTTAACCTCAATTATTTTTAATTAACACAAAATTGAATTACCTATCCAACCTACTATCGTATTAATCATAATTATTTTTATTAAATGTGAACGAGTTCGGAATTTAATATTCCGATAATAATATTTAAAAATAAATTATTTTATACTGCCAAAATCATTTTTTCGTGTTTAAGGATTATCCTTATTTAAAAAAAAATGTCCAAATTTCAAGAATAAATCATTTATCATAATCAAATTTACTCCTCAAAGATTGGGTATACAATTTAATAATAATTAAAAGATTATTTTTTTCTCCTTTCTTAATTTAATTCTCTCTTTTTTTCGGTAAATATAATTTTAATTGTTGAGCTTATATTAACTTTTTTTCTAACGATACTTATTCGAAAACGTTTTTATTTTACCCTAACACTGCAGTATACTATTAATCTATTATAATATTATATACCTATTATGTGTTGATACTCCGGACAGATGTATACAAATTTGAATTATACGGTAGGCGTGCTATTTATGTACAAAATACAATAAAAGGTTTTAACAGTTAGAATATTGTAGCGCGTAATTCAAAACGCTGACATAGAAATATGTATTATATTAAGTTAAGAATACAGAAGGAAAAATCGCAATTACCAGTCGTTATTTTTTGATATATGGAAACTTAATACGCCCGTCGGTTTTCAATATACCTGTGCATACGCATTATCATATTCTTACAAACAATCGCGTTTCATAGAATTAAGGAGAAAAATATACCGCAAATAACAAAAAATAACATATACATACATGTGTATTTTACGTTGTATTACGAAAAGGAGTCGGATTATAAAAGTTATTTATGTCTATTTATTATTATTATTGTAGACGGTATACTATAGAAATTCAGACGCGTGTTCATAACAACAATATAAAAATTGGCCACCGATTTGGATCACAGAACTCTACATCCAAGAGGGATTTAGAGGAACTTCCTTATACACTCTTTCCGAAATTACTCAACATTTTCAATTTTATGATCATTTTATTTAAATTTTTTCTATAATATATTGGTATGTTAGTTGTGTTCACCTAGGTTCACCATAGGTGAAAACATAAGACCAAAAAATGTCTGTGAAAATACAGAGAAATGTTTTCCTTCTACTTTAGTGTGTAACCATCTTGATTTCGTTTTTTAAATTCAATTTATAGAAGATAAGAAATTTAATTTTGATATGTATACAATTTTATAGAGGTAAATACGAGAAAATAACTCGTATGTTTTTTTTTTTTTATAAGAAATCAATTTCAGATTCATTTATTATTAAGATTTGTCTACGAAAAATTCAAACCATTAAGTTATATGCAATATAATACTCACTATATAATCACCAATTTAAGTACGAAAACGTGTAAGACCAGTTATAGTAGTAATATACTAATTAATATATTCTCTAAACATATTATTTTATACGATTCCACTCTTATTTTGTATATATTTTTAATTATTTGAGGTAAAAGTTTTTTTTTTTTAATTTGGTTCTCACGTCTAGAGAAAAATATAATTACTACTACAAATTACATTATAGAATACGTAATACATGATTTTATGTGGTAATGTGACCATTACTTATTTATGAACCTATGTTATGTATTTTCTCAATTTTTCAAAAATAAAAAAAAAATGAATTGATAAAAACTGTGGATGGGTATACTACTATTTTAGGAAAGTAGTTAGGCTTAAGGATACATAGAGTAATTTAATTTATTTTATATCTGCAGTACTCAACGATAAATCATTTCTAACAAAAGCCGATTCTGAGTAGAGTATTATAAATCGTATACATTTTTTTCTTGTTGCCAAAATAACCCTAAGTTTAACAAAAATTGCTAGTTCTTCTAATTTTTTAAAAAATTTAAAATTAAAAAAAAATTTATCTCTTCAATACACGAACTAGATAAAAATGCTATAAGAAAGTTTCTAAAAAGTTTTCGATTGAATCAATATTCTTGGTAAAGAAGTTGTTTTTTAGATTAAAAAAATAAACATACATTGTAGTTAAACTAATACATTCCTCACTTCACCTAGAATCTAATAAATTAAATTTACGTAATTATAAATATAATTTCTAATTGCATATACACGTCGAATAATTCCGTTTCATATGCCGATTCCCATTACAGTACTATAATATAATGTTTTGACAACAAAACCAAATCTGTCAAGGACGAATGTGGAATTCGATTCTTATATTATTTTGGTTTTCACCTTTTGCCCTCACCGGGAGTCATATATATGTATAAATACGAGAGTATTATAATACTACGGCCGCAGGTCATAATCCGTAAATCATAAATATTGCAAAAACCGAAAACGATTTATAAAAAAAGAAAAAAAACGATAGAGAAAATCGTGACCTAATGTTATTATACAATTAATATTGTGACGTGCTATATTGTGTTTTCACGAGCCTGGGGATCGAGTATCAACTGTATAAGGCCGGTCAATATAATATAGAATGTTCCCACAGTTCTTGACTCCTATTTACAATGTTTTGTTGTTGTTTTTTTTTTTATATCGATTTTTCCATAAATCGTGAAAACGGTAACGCAATATAATAACGTTATATATAGTATAGGCGTATTACGAGTTTACAATGGTTTGTTTTAGAAAAATATTATTTAAAGATATAAATTGTTAAATTATATATCATAGCTGCTGTAGATTAATAACAGCAACGGGAAAAAAACGAAAGGTTTGATATCGATGTTATGAAAAGTCAATAAACCATTAAAGTTATACCGACGACGTTTAAAAAAAAATGTATTTACTAGAAATCTTTCTTTAAATTCAGTTATTATAATCAATATAAAATAGAAATTGTTTTACATTTGATTTAGTACTTTTAATTTAATAAATCGTAAGTTTCCATAATTATAATTATTTAATAGATATATTGTATAACAAAATATTCACCAACTGTCGAATTAAAAAAATTAAAAAATTAAAGTATCCATTTTTAGTTTTGAAATGTTTGTTCTATCATACTTGTTATACCAAACTATTTATTTTTAGCATTTTGCTGAACTCTGAATACAAATATATTTATTTTTATTCGTATAAGTGTAAAAATATTATCAATGTTAATTTATACCCAGTAATAATATGGTCTGGGCCGAATACAAAGGGGAGAGGGTAGAAGCTCCCTTTAGCATGTAGGTATTTTATAAATAGAACTTGTACTAAATTACATTAAAAATACCCTTTTAACGCATATAAAAAGTGAATTTTTTTAGTAGCACTAATCTAATTGTTTAATCCGCCCTTAAATACCATACATCAATATAATTATTTAGTTTGAGAATTATAATATAGAAAGATATTTTATAAGTAAAACGGTTAAACCATTTAAATTCATTTCGACATATCGCCAAAAGTCGTTTACTGTTGTAATATTTCGGTCCCTAACGAGAAATACTTTAATTTCGTATCTATTAATTTATTGGGATTAGCCAACAGCATTATCACGAACAATCAAAGTTAAACTTTTTTGTTTTGTTTTTTTTTTACCGACCCGCACAAATCGGTTCTCGTGAAGTCCCGGTGAGTATATAATATTTGTTAAAAGTTCACGTATAACATATTTGGTATATAGTTTTAAAAAGACATTAATTTGATAGGTATGCCATAGGCTATGTAATTATTAAATTTGTATTTAATTTTACACTCAATTTTACTTATTTATCATGGTATGTTTTCTAATATTTTGTAAATTAAATACCTTAATTTAAAGTAGGAGAGTGCATTGTGAATATTTATAAAAAAAAAAAAATATAATTTCAAATTCAGCTAATAGACGTATTGCAATAAGTTAAATATAATTATAATTGTATCCATATTTAGTTATACTAACCTTGTGTATATTTATACTCTTATGAATTCGTATCGTATGTGTTCTGAAACAAATAAAAAAAAAAATAACATAAATTAATTGTTCGATTAATTATATATACTAAATATAAATATTAAACTAAATTAAATTACTATTAAATTATTAATTTTATTGTTAGTTAAACAATATATTAATAAATATAATGTATTATATATGTGTAGTGGAAAAAAAAGAATCATTTTCAGTCAAAAACGATTAAGTATAGTAGTGATTATAAGTAAAAACAATGAGTTTCTGTTAAATAAAACATTTTTATCCACTTTCTCTCGATTCCTTATCGAGTGACACGAGATAATCTTAAATATGCTGTACGGATGATACAGTATGAACAAAAATCCTGTTGTAGGTAAACGACCCCGCGTTCAGTCTACATTTAAAGTTCGGCAAAAAAAAACCTATGTAATATATATAGGTACCTAATCAAATTATACATCATAAATAATGATAACGCGTAGGACGTTAAACGGCATACATTTTAAAGTATTTATCGTCTTCATATTTGAAGGGAACATATTTAATTATTTATATTACTAAAACTCAATAAAATAATTATTATGATAATTAAAATTAATAAAAAAAAAAATCGTAGTACGTAAAATGTAATGAACGAAAATCTTTTTTTCAATACGCATAGGTTTGACACTTTCAAACCATTTGTTTAATCGTTTTCGTAGATCAAGTCGAATTCAATCCGTATTAATACCTATATGGAAGGGGAGGGGTGGTTAATAATATAATTTATTAGTGCTCAATATTATCAATTGTCTAAAACTACTATCGTTTATCAATTGACTTTTGACGAAGCTTATTAATAAATTGATTTTAAAAGATTAAATTAATTTATGATTTCTGTAACGTTTATATCCCAAAAATTTTCATAATAATATGTAGAATTATAGAAAGATTTCATTTTTTTCTCTGTGCCTATGCACTCTCTCTCCTCTACAGTAAACCTCGTGGAATTATTGCTTATTTCTCACGCGGATTTAAATTATTATTATTATTATACATCGAAAACCACACGCCGGTGTTGTGGCAATCTAAACCGTTATTATGTATAATACACGTAGGTATATATCTGATGAGTGATGACTATACTATGAAGTAATATCGACTGCAACGGGAAAAAGTGAATCTTTCCAGTGATGTTTCTATTATGCATATATGTATAATATGCGTTCAGTTCTGCAATTGAACTAAAACTATTGCCAAATGTAGTTCTACTGGTATTTTTTTAAATTTATAAATAATCCGTTTACTTTCACTACTGATATACTCGAGTATAATATAATACTACTTCGAAAATATTATAGTGAATAGTATTATATCCAGGTATATTATCATCATGTTGTTAGATTTTGTTATACAGATACAATTATCATTTTGTCGATTACAAAAATTAAAACTACAAATATGCGAAAATCTTTTGATCTGTTATAGATTGCAGCTATATATTAAATAGCAAACTGTTTTTTTATCGATCTTTCTCTTAAGTGTATTATACATGCCATTCGGTTTAATTCTCTTCGATATTTTTGTATTTTATTTACAGTTCTCGTGGATCAGTCGAACATTTATTGTATAAATATTTTGCACTTGTTATACAACACTGCAGCAGTGTAGTTGACCGATAAAAAACCAACAGTATATTGTTGAAAATACGTTTTATTTTTCTCATCAGCACTCGTAGGCCGACACGGATCGCCGGGTATTATAGTTGTTCTCCTCCAGTCGACAAGAAAAAAAACACTAGCAATGATTATCGGTTTTCTATTGCTTGCTACTAGAGCTGTCTTTATGCACTAGAAGAGTAAATTAACAAGGTCAATGGTTCGAATAAAACTAAAAATTTGTGTTTTATAGCTTTACACAGATAGTTCCGAAGTAGTAGTTTACAATAGGTACTTGCAGTAATATTGATGCGGTTTAAAATCATTTAGCCAACACAATAAAATAACTATATATTTTTTAAGTAAAATAATTTTTTTAAATCACTAAAAACAATTATGTAGGTGGTAATATTATATAAAGATTTATCAATTTACAATACAGTGGGTATCACAGTAAAAAAAAAAAAAACTTTTTTCTTTATACAATTATTTTGAAGTCTTGTCCCATAAACGCCCAATTAATTTTCAACGAATTATATTATAACGTCATTATAATTTATACATAACAAAAACAAAATTAAATATTTCATTTAAAAATAACTGGAAGTTTAATTATTAAGTTCTACATTAAAATTTTATTCATTCGGTATCACCAACATTGACTTTTTTTTTATGGTTTAAGGCACTGTAAAAATGTATATTCAGTTTCTACATAATATATTATATTAAGTAATTTAGTATGTGCAATCATGAAAACATATATTTAAAACGTGTAAAAGTTCATTTGAGAACAATGTCAATATATTATAACCGGTACCCGTGTATATAATTATTATTTTCGTTTGACGAACATTTTTACGCGTACCTAAATAAAACGTGAGCGAAAATTAACTTTTCTTATTAACGACCGTCCTTGGAAGGTTAAAAGTATCATTACAGTATTATTTATTATAATATGTACTTTATGCTTTTAAAAATCACAAATTAAAATATTTCAAGTTGCCAATAATATATCATATCTATTTAAAATATGGTTTTGATTAATTTGAAGAAAAAAAAAACGCACGAGATGATCGTTTATAATATAAAAATATAAAATAATATGATGCCCGAGAGTATAATTCGGGGAGGGGGGCACCATTGTTCGCGCGTATAGTTCACGACGACGGTCAATTAAACAACGGCGTCAATTTCGCAACACCCGAAACAATACCCGGTGTAATATTTCAAATACCGAAATAATACTGGGTCGGTTTCTATTGTTTTCCCGCAGGACCACGATTAGTATCGTGTACCACGACCCGCCCGACGACGACGGTGACGGCGACGACGTTGAGAAACGTTTTAATTGTTACACTATGAACTGCGCGGCGTGGACGGCGACGTGTGTGTGTTGCGGGCGAAATATAGAATCAATTGTTTTAGGAAATAATTTTGTAAAAATAAAAAAAAATAAAAATAGAATTGAACTTAAACACGTTGAGCGCCCATAGTTTTTCGACATAATAGTTAATTATTATTTTAACCGACGAAACTCTGCAATATTGAACCCCGTGAAATGCGTAGCAGTGTGAACCGTGTACAGTTTTTGTGTCTGTCAATGTCTGATGATTAAAAATGTTAAAAGGCGATGTTTTACTATACCAGGGACCCGTTTATCGCGCTATTTTTTCATTGGAATAATAGACTATTATTGCTATGTTTTGAAAAATCCAAATAATTTAAACGGTTTGTTTTAAGAAAAAAAAAAAGAAGATTTACAAGTTACTCATAATGAAAATACGACACCAACGTTGTGATCTTGCAATACGATGTGAAACGTGAAAAAATTTATAGTGAAAGCTCGATGTTTTAAAAAACCTTATTTTACCAGCAATATAACAAGACGTACTTATAATACGATGATCTTTTGTAGGCGCCAAAAGTACCGACAAAATACTACAATTGATTTTTATAAAAAATCAGTGTTGCGCTTAACTGATATGATGTTTTTTTTTTTTTTAGTTTTTCGTAAGTTTTTTATAAGTACGATAAAAATAACCTCCCCCTAATAGACATTATTGGTCCAAAATGTCCAAATGATATCAATATTAAATTATATTTTACATAATATACTCTTGTGTAGTTTTGAAAATATAAATATATTTAATAGAAATAAAAACCAGTATCGTATAGTAGGGTACCTACTTAAAAAATAATTTACATATTATTTAATTTATTCTTAACAACTTGTTTATTAAAATTAGAAAACAAATTTTGAAAGAATCTCATCTTTACAGATAGCATGCTATTTTCATCAAAGAAGTAATAAAATGTACACACTAAATTTAGGTATACATAAAAAAGAAATCAAAAATTATATTAAGATAATATTATTCATAATAATTCTAAATGTCGAATCAAGTACAAAAATATATTGAAAGATTTTAACTGACAACACATTTATAGAAAAAAAATTGTTGAATATTCCAAGTACAAAAATTTGAAATGGTCCAAATGTACATTATAATAAATCGAATAATCTTAATAAAATGACTAGAAATTATTACATTTTTATACAAATAATATCGCGCTGCTTCCAAAAATAAAAAAGTGCGAATAATGATTTTTGATAGTTTAAAATTCATATTTTAAATGTTCTCATAAAAAATTTCATTCACGATTTTCGAGATTTATTCAAATTATATAGTTATAGACAAAAATATAAGAATATCTTTTTTTATCGAATAATAACCTAATAATTTTTATTAATACTTAAGTAAGGAATCGAAAAAATAATAAAATATTATATTTGGAATATTATTACAAATCAGCTTATTAACAATATGGTTGTAACAATGTATTTACTTGTTTTTTTTGTTTTTGCATTATTTAATCATTTTTTTTTTTTAACTAGTTAGTTCCTACAAAAACTATAGATCGAATTTTTTTACCCCAAAATGGGCTCATACTCGTATAAATATAACTGTGCACACTTTCTGTTCAAATAATTTATTCGAATATGTATAAAAAATAATAATAATAATATTAACCAGAAACACACATCATTGTAAGCCCATATAAGTTCTACCTCGCAACGATCGATGTTAAAATATCCACCGCGAATAAACGCTGTTAGATTTTAAAAATGTTCTAATTTTACAAATTATACGATTCGGTAGTATAAAGCATCTCGAACACCATACAATCAATCGTACAGCAATACGACTGGCTTGTAGTTGCAGTTAACCTAACCTAACCTTACCTCACACACTCGAGCATTACAATAGTTGTAGTACTTCCAGTTTTGATATGTGCGTTATCCTGTGTTCTATTATTCATTGCATTATAACTTGTCGACATAATGATAATAATATAATTTTAATTTTAAAACCTTAAACATGACTCCCGTATCGAGAAAAACTGAAACTATATAATATTATAATGTTGTCTAGATACTCCGAGAAAAGAAAAATGAAACCTAATAGAAAATAGTGTAAAATAGGCAAAAAATACAAATATATCAAACCTGACGTCATGGAGCTTACACAAGTTACGAGTTGTCATTCGGGGAACCCCGTTGTACGATAGATTTACATGCTTGTTCGATCTCGTCGTACTACAAGTTGTACAACAATACCATATACACGTTACGATAATCGTTTGAAAAATCGTAACCATCTGAGTTGCACAATCTGTAATACGATTGATTGTATCGCATACGGGACGATTAAGTGTAATAATACATTATAACCAAAGCATAAGAACAAATATATACTATTGCAGTGCCCCATATCCAGAGGAGGTTTCCGAGTTCAAGCCCCCCCCCCCTCTAAATACAATTGCCTCGGTATGATGCCGTGATAGCCCGAAACCCGATGTCCCGGATACAAAGAAAATTTGATGATTTGGTAAAATAATAACCAATAAAATAAAAATAATAAAAAACGATTAACTATGCTATAATAATAAATATACTGTTCGAAGTAACTACTATAGTGGTATTACTACGTTAATAGATAGTCACGATAAGTGATAATATGCCGCGATAAGAACAAACAACGATTCCTCTTAGCAAATGATTCTTGAGTTGAATTTCGTTCATTCATATTTTTCTTTTGTTTATCTATGGGTTGTGGTTCTTCTTTTTATAGCTGCGAGACGCGAACGTGTTCCATTTTTTTTAATCATATCGAGTATACTTAATCAATGTTTTACCTAACCTAACCCGACCTATGTTTTTATTGCTTCGCTATCAAAACCTGAAGCACCCTCCCTGAAAATAAATCCTGGCTAGAGTACTGTATTCAATATACTCTCTGTATATTAAGGTGCGTCTAAAAGGGATTTTTTCGCGTTTAAATTATTATCGTTTTTTTTTTTATAGCTACTTTGGTACAGGTACAACCGCGATTAGGAAATTTATGTATATCATATATAGATATGTAAAGATATACAGGTACACTGTACGTAAACGGCTGCTGTTATGAAATGTTTTTATTTTATTTAAATATATAGATAAAATGTATATGCAAATTAAAATATTAATTAAAACGTTTTATAATGTTTTACTTGACACATAATAATATACGTAATAATAACTTCCAGTGTATAGAAAGTTTTTTTATTAAATTTTTATTTATCAGAAAAGCGAAACGAAAGTTTTTGAAATGGATTATATTATACATAGTATAGGCGGGTACTATCGTATACGCGTAATATTCGCGCGTATTAAATGAAATTTGAGAACGTTTGGTTTTTTTTTTCCTGCTCACAAGGACATTACATAAAGCGCGTATAGTATACGTAAAGGTACCTCTATGTAAGCTGTTATTTTTCATTTATAAAACGTATATACATATATATATATATATATATATATGTGTATAGTATATAATAATAATAATAATAATAATATTATTATATATTATACAGTGCGTAAAACAAAATGTTTCCCACGGTCTTCTGGTTATATAGTATTTTGCAACTACTAACACTACCACTGTTCTATGCGAACGCAGTGCGTGTGTATTTGTATGAAATCTTGCAGAACAAGGTTCGCTTCTGATGCAGTAGACTGAGTAGAGGTATATTTGCAGGCGTTTGCCTCGTAATACATCAATATAGGCTGTATGTGTGTGTTTGTGTGTGTTTGTGATGGGTTACATTACATATACATATACGATCCTGAGACGATTAATCATTCGACACGAGGTCCCACACGTATAATAATATTATTACGGTAGATCCGTATGTATGTTTATACGAATATATATATATATATATACGCGTGCCTATATAGATCTCTGTAAATCGGCAACGGCAAAAGCTTACACGATTCTTTAAAATAATATAATACGCGAATATTTCTGCTCGACAACTAGACCGTGACCGCGTAAGGCGTCTTTACAATAATAATACGCACGTATGTTGTTCTTGATTCGTCTTTTTTTTTTCTGTGTTTTTTTTTTTCGACGTACCTACATGAAAATAAAATAATATAACCGTCGATTAATAATTAATATATATATATATATAGTAGGGAGGAAAAAAAACGATGGTTATTAAATTAAATTACTGTCGCTGTCAACGAGATACTCTGCGGTCACGTCAAAATATAAAATAAAATGGCGTACATACAAGATAGCATATCGTATATAATACGAATAACAATATTATTGTCACGCCTATGCGACTGCAGCGAACGTTGCGGGGTACACAAAATCACGATATTATTCTATAGTTCTCACGTAAAACGTTTTTTCTTCTTCTTATATTTATCCCATATTATATACTATTACTTATTTTTCTCTAAAAAAAAAAAAAAAAAACTTTCACAATATAAATACCCACATAGTCAAGTATTATACTCGTAAGGTTTAAAGGTTATTAGATATTACCTATTACAAGTCCAAAAAATTGAAATACCTACAGGAATTAATATTGAAAAAAAAAAGTTACTATCCGCGTATACAAAATACGAATATTGTATGCGTGCGTTGAGTACAAATACGGCTATATAAATCGCATTTAATCAATTGATTACATTATATTTCCTTAATCATTATGGTCAATATATTATACACTATATTTTATTACTGATAATTACAAAAATTTTATGTTAACACAAAAAAAAAAAAAAACAACCTAGCAATACTATCAGTTTATATACGTATTATTTGTTTATATTTGACTGGTATTCAAACGCATACAAATGTATATAGTCGGTTAAACAATAAAAGCTCATAAACAATTTTCGCTAAATTTTCGATTAGATTCGCGATTTTTATACGCTTGTCGACGATATAATATAAATATAATAAGACTTAAATAAACACGTAAAGCGCAGTGGTTTCCAAACTGTTATAGGGTTTCTTATTTTATTTTTTTTTTATCGCTCATTTTATCTCGTTTATTACCATTATCATAACACAATTCGTGCGATCGCAGCGCGGTTAACGCTAAAAACTCCCGTCATCGCGAATTGCCTTTATTTTTCAGAAACTCTTTTTTTGTCGCCCTTCGCTCTATATACTACAGTTACCTACGTCCGCACGAAGAATTTAAAAATGCCATTTCGTAAAAATCAATTTTAATTCGATAAATCGAGCTTTTCTTCGTATATGTCTGTAACACTATTAATCATTATAGTTGACTTAATATACGTATACATCTCAAGATTCATAAATTTCAATAAATAAACACTTGCATATTTATATGTAATTGTTAAGTTGTTGTTTGTTTAAGTCGACGAGGGGGGGGGATGCGATTTTAGTCTCAAACCTCCCCTCCTCTTGCGCACGTCACTGCAGTATACGTCCGTGGCGACCTCGAACGGAATAATATACTTCAATGGCCCCTCCGAAGAGTGACGACGACGACGATGATATTATACTAAAATGTGATATCAGTAACAAACGATAAAATGGGGGTTCGCAGCAGCTGCAACTCATACTATATAATATAATATTATACAGGGTGAACGACGTAAAGAGTGTCTTACATTATGTCGAAAAGTGTTAACGTTTTTCGCGAAAAAATGTAACGAACAAATGCAGCTCTAAAATGTAACGCGTTCGAATTACTCGTTAAAATATCTTGTCATCTGTTTAACGGAAATTAAAAAAGGTCGACAACATAATCTAATCTATTTAAAGTAATCAAATTTTCGATGTATATATAAGTCGGTATTTATGGACATTGAAAATGAGAGGCGGTTTCATCTCCGAAAATAAAAGCGCCAAAAAAGAACGGTTCTATAGAACTGATCGTTTCTTACGATTTCTATACTTTAAATTTTCGCGAAAAATAATACTTTCCGAGATAACAACAGTGTTCTACCACGTTTATCACCCTGTATGTATTATAAACTTGCACACAAATGCTCGCGCACGCGCAAAACCGTTTACGACCCGCGAAATACGACGGAATGTTTCAAGGCAAACGGGTTAATCCTCGGCTATGTGCACGTATAATACACAAATACGATACCGCGACTCCGTGATTTACCACCTCGCGCCCGCCACCGTTCGCAGCCCCGTTCGTGATATTATTATTATTATTATTATTATTATTATTATTATTATTGTTGTTGTTGTTGTTTATCTTGTGTGTGTACGTTTGCATAAAAGTATATTATACGTTTATCGCGTCGCAATATAATAATAATTATACTAATGCCCGAAGGTAAACCGAAGAGTTAAATACTTTACTGCTGAGTCGAGTCTCGGCGATATTATCATAATCTTAAAAATACCCCTCTCCCCCCTCATAGCTCGGTAATTCGAAATAAAAAAAACGCGACGCTCATCGCGGTTTATCGAAATATTCCGAGTAAAACATGTTCGAATACAAAGTGAAATCCCGAACGAACCTACGGCCAACACGCCGCGTCAATAATTCCAAAATTCTTTTTATGCGCAGTCTGCAATTCGAAGTTCTCATTTCACCGCGTGAATGACAGAACCTTTAGCACACTCCACTATGGCTTTAGTATACATTTGAAAATAAATTAGCTCTTCTTCGAAATATTCATGGTTTTTTGAAATTTTCGAAGTTTTCTGTTGATATAATATGTTAAGTGAATATTGTGAATACTAATTTCTTGGTTCGGTGAAAAAGCTCGAAATTTTTTTCAAAATCATTCTAATAACTGCAACTGGTAAAAAATGGTCATAATATTTTGGGTTAAATGTGTACATTTTGACGAAACTCATGAGAATAATCACAAAGAATTCTAAATTATAATTTTACAGTTGATGAAAATTAATATGAAATGTTCGGTTTAAATTTAGCAAACAAAAATATTGAACTTCACGCGGAATCATTTGTTTTTCCTTAACAATTTATCGTTGCATTCGGTATTAAAATTAAATCTTAACCCTACGCGTTTCCGGCTTCCCAACACCTACAATAGTGGCCTGACCCATGTGTTGCTAAGTATGTCCTCTAGCTATATTTTTTTTTTTCATACACTGCTCTTTTATCGAAATCGAAGACTATTGGAAGCCGCGCTTATGGGTAGGGCGGTATTATGTATATATTATTATTGTCATGTAAATGCGTTCGCTTTTACGCAGTTTTTATTATTATTTTTTATTGTCAATGGAATATTACAGCCGGACAACACTGACGGCAGACGCGAATTCCTACGCACAAACACGTTTTATTATTTTTTTTTTTTTATTACGACAATACCCCGAAAACGTAGGTAAACGCCGCGAACGACAATGTTTTCATGGCAACACTGCAGCAGCAGCGGCTGTTCCCTCAGTCGCTTCATTAGCGATAGGTACCTATTGAATGCTGTTTCATTAACTGTTACTACTATATAACTACTACTACTACTACTACTATAGCTATTACTCTCTTCCCAGTGCTATTCAATAGGCATCGTTCGAATAAAAGCGAAGTAATAGTAAATTGCATTGCAACTATATAGAATGGCAAAAAAAAAAAATATATATATCTATAATGACCTTATACAAAGTGACTTTTGAAGGTTTATTGAGATCACGGTGAGAAAACTATAGGTATTGGGACATAGGTATGCGCTAAAAATCGTCGTTCAGCTACGCTATTTCTATGTATGATCATCAATAACATACATTTACATAAATAATAATTCGTATTTATAATACAACTGCACTGTAACCAGTTATTTAATATCCGCAGCTGATGTGTATTTATAAAACGCCTTACTGAAAAATATAATGAGTAAGTACTCGCCAACAGTGTGCGGTCCATTATAATAATAACATATTCCGAGATTCATTGTACTTAAAACATTTTGTATGTACAAATTTGGCTGTTTTTTTTTTTTTATCGGAGAAACTTAAATCAAATATTGTTTATCTATAAAAATAAATATTACACTATACATGATAAGTTTTCGGATAACGAAATAACAAAGTGCAAAATGCACTCAAATAAAATAACGATTAGACGCTGCGGGAAAAACTGTATGTATACGCCATGACGGCGTGATTTTATTGATAATCAAAACGGATTCCGAATAAATAATCTAAAATCGTTTTGAAATTCTAGATTTGTGTTTTTAAAATTCCAAACGCATCACCGGTCAGGATGCGATGTGTTGTCGACTGTGGACTATTGGATTGATGGAATGTAAATAATCGTTGGCACGTATATTGTTACACTCGCGGCGCGTCACGAACGTCGCAGTGCGATCAGAATTTCCTTCTTTTGTGCGGCGTATAGAGATGTGGAAAAAAAAAGTAAATCCTACGAGCACGTTTGCAGAGTTTAACTTTTGCATATTCGATATAAATTAACGACGGCGACGACCTGTTGTTATAATGTTGTATGGTGTCGTGGGCGTTCGAGGAGGATGAATATGACGATTTACGAAATCGCCGTCTTCGTCGACCCATTGTCTCTCAAGTACGCGAATTTATTATTTAAATTTATTCGTCGTCGGTGTTATAATATATAAATTAATTCATCGAGTATACCCATGCGAGTAAAATGACAATCGTGGTTTTTTTTTTTGTTAAATATGAGTACGTGATGCGCGCACACAATGATTTAGCCGTATACAACTGCGAACTGATTCGTTGAATTTACAATCGGCTTGAAACCGCGTTAAAACGATATTATAATATGTATTTCAAAACCTTCTAAACAACAAAAATTACGAAATTTATTTTAATTGTTAGTATTATTTAACTGAAGTACTTACAATAATATTTCGTCAGGTATTTTTTTTTTTAATAGTTTATGTTTGTTTTAATCGGAGAAACGTACTATATAGGAATAACGCTCGGAAATAAGATCTGATAAGACTATCTCTGGTGTTGCCTTATGTTACTCAGTTATTGAGGGGAACACGCGTGCCCAGTGTGGTGACAGTTACCCCATGTGAAGAAAGTAGACACAACCTTGGATGACACCAATAGATTAATTACAGGGAGTTTAAGATCAACGCCTATAGTCAAACTACAAATTCTGAGCGGGATAACATGGCCGCCTGAAAGAAGACGAGAAATAGCAGCTAAAATAAAAAGGAAGAAACAAATTAAGCAATAAAGATAAACGTCTTATGCACAGAACAGTGACGACTCCAAGTATGTTGAAATCAAGGAAATACTTTATGAAAATAACAATTCCACTAAAAGAAAGCTCTAAGACAAGCAAAACTAAAATACGGAAGAAGCAAACAAGAGGGGACAAACAAACAATATGAGGCATACCCACAGAATCCTTTACTATCGGGACATACCTTGGAGAATGTGGAAAACGTTTAATCGTCTGCAAACAAATGTAGGCAGAACTAAGGACCAACTGCTAACTGCCACTATTTAGAGAAATAGACATCAAGTAGTCTGTTGTTTGAATGTGCATTGTAACCTAGTAAATGTGAGATGAACTATTTTATTGGATTAACAGAAATCACGAGTAAAATATCATATGAGTTGCTGAATATTTAGAAAAAAAATATTTATAATTTTTAAGGAAACACTTACTAACACGAATAAGAAAAAAAAAAAACGCAATGAAATGCATAAAAATATAAATATGCAATTTACCAATACCTTAAAATATATATTGAGTGATCCATTTAAGTGGGTAACTACATTAATTATTATTTTGATAAGTTTTAACTTTTTTCTAATTTTTTTTTTAAATTTAAAAAACAAGTAACTCTAAAATTGTATAGTTCTATTATTTATTGTTATCTTTATTTTTGGGGTTTAAATGACTACCACTTTTAATTTTTAAATGGCAACCTATATCAATAGAGGGATAAATTAGTTAGAATTTATTTTGATGCTGACTTTTTTGATTGTCGTCCACCCGTTGACGAGATATTCCACTTTTAAGTTAGGGTAGAGGGAGAGTAATGGAGCATAATTTTTGTGGCAGAACGGCGCACGGTGTTTTAACAATACTCCAGTACTTTCTTCCTACCCAAACTTAAAAGCTCCTTGTTTCTATAATTGTTAAAAAAAAAAAATGTTTGAAAAAGTTAATATTTTTTGAGATAATGAATGCACTCATTTAAATGGATCACCCTGTATAAATTGTGTACGTGAAATACGTGATATTCTATTGAACATATATTTTTGTTATGAGTATATGGATTTAATACGACTATTATGTACTAACACGCGTTTAATGTCTTACCTCAAAGATGATTTTTATCGATAAATTTAACATGTTTTATTATTACTTCGCATTATGTTATGTTAAAATATTAAATAAATACGGATACATACATATTATGGATTTATAACTAACTAATAAAATTATAATACTTACAATAGGCTATACCGTATATAAAGTGAAAGGATCGCGAACGAAAAACTCTATACATATTATTATATACCTATATAAGTATAATAATGAGTAGCTGAGTAGGTATAATGTTATTTTAGATATCGCATGATGCGATTACACCATTTTATATTAGTAGATCGTATTGCATATTATTATTATTACAGTTTCGAAACAAAATCTAGAAAACTGCAGATGATAATAATATTATAATTCCGAGTAATATAAAAGAGAGATTTTGGTTTTAAAAATTATACAAGTACGTTCGGAATCGGCAGTGCAATTTAAACGGGATTGAAACCGAATTTTCAGACGATTCGCCTCGAACGGTATATACGTGAATGGGATTTTTTTTTAAGTATACGTTTTCACCTCGCTACAAGCAAAACGATAGATCATAAAAAAGAAAATCCCTAACAAGGTGTACCTTGTATATTATTATGACGCACCGACCGACGTGGAATTTTTTTTATCCGCGAATAGCGATAACGCCATTACGATATCAAATATTTTAATTATATATTTATATATTATTATTATTGTAAAATATTCTTCGGTGGATATGCATGTGTGAGCTTCACGTGTACGGCTTCGGCTTCAGTCCTGCACGGTGTCAGCTGTGAATTATACTTTATTGTACAGACACTGTATATGTATGCACTGTACTCTGTACATACAGAGTGATTATTTTATCATAAACCAGTGATTATTTATTCGCAAATGTCGAGTATTTTCAATTATTAAATGGAATCGTTAAACCTTAATTCTCTTATTTACAAAATAAACGAAATTTAAAACAAAGTTAAATTTTTAGAATAATGTTTTCTTTTGAATTCAGATGTTTAAAGCATAAAAACACACGCGTAAATATTTAAAAACGAAAATTCGCGTGCGGTTACAATAGTGACAAAATTCTGAAAGTATGGTAAATCGTGTGATCGATTAAAACGATTGGAAATTACCGAAATCAAATTTACTCAAAAATCATCACTAGTTCATCGTGATAAAACACGAAAATCACCCTGTATATGGTCGCTTATACAATACAAAACACCGGAGAGAATTATTGGGAAAAAAGAGCGGGGTATTAGCGCAACAGCATCAGCTGGGGTGAGTAGCGGTCGGTGCAGTGGGGAAACGTACCGAATCATTCCGCTCGAGTTAGCCGTCGTCGTTGACGTCCCCGGTGAACCTTATCGTGAGTGCGAGCAGGTGTCCACAGAGAATTTATCAAATTCCACCGAGGCGGTGCAGACGGTAGCGACCGTTTTCGGTGTTTACATTTTTTAATAACGTATAGTTTCGTCAACCCTCTTCGCAACCACATATACACATACAAATAGTTTAAAAAAATATGTCTGGCATGTTTTTTTCCTCCAACACACGTCATATAGTACCAATGTATCAATTACCATCGTATAATAGTGCATCAAATAAAATATAATACGTACAAAAACCTATTTATAACTATTGATGAATATTGGAAAAATAAAAATAAAAATATGGATTTTAGAGAATTTGTTTTTATTGAAAGTATTATATTAGATTCTGAGTATATATAGAGAAATAAGCTAGGTATTATAGTTTTTAAATTAATAAATGTATTTTTCTCTCGGAAAACACTTTTTCGGTTAGTAAAAATGGTTCAAAACTTTCACACCTTACCGTAAAAAAAAGCAGATTTTCAGATCAGTGGTACATTATTCAAGCCATTTTCTAGATTCCCAACAGTCGTTCTAAGCAAATTTAAAAATACCTGACAACAAATAACGATATATTGCCAGTTTTAGACGAAATTTATGCCACATAAAAATCTGGTATGTTGATCCATCATATTATAATGTATGTTATAATAAACGGTATATAGATAAACTCTACACGAGTCTACACGAGTAATAAGTAAACCGGAAGTAGTCAAAATTAAATAATTTGTCTTCTTTGATCTTATCTGAAATAGTAAATAATATTCATCATGTGAAATTATACCAATGTTTTTGGAATATTCAAAATATATGTATCTATTTGTAATAAATTATTAAAAATACTGCATAATAATATTCTGTAGGTACTTACTTAAAATAATATAAAACTATTACTTTAAATGCGACGATCAACCTATTGGAACGAGGGTACATCGAAACACTTCCGAATTATTAGAAAATTACAATACATATTTCTATTATTATTGTTATACTACACGCGCGATAGTGAAAGTAGATGTTTACAATTATTAATAATAGTAATGAATAATAGTTAATATTCTCGCGTCGTCGGAGAATGTTCATTAAAACGTTTTAATGAGCCCGGAAGAAGAGCGCATCACGACGTTACTCATCAAAACCGAATGTATACTCTGTATGTATAGTGTATACGTTTGATATATATATATATATATATATATATATTTAGAGAGAGAAACAATGGTAATATGCGAAAATAGTATACACACAGACTTATTCTATGTACTATGACATTTATAAGAAACCATATTATTCGTGTGTAATAATTAGTATATTTATTTTTTTAACTACTAATTACTTTTTAAGGTACTATTATACTATATATATATACTGTATACCTAAACTAACATCAAGGGTTGGGGACAAAAGATAAAAAAAAAAAGTTTTTTACCATAATAATGGTCATTTTTGTTTATAGATTAAATCAGTTTATGTATATAAGAGCGGTATATATAAACTTACATTATATACTGTACCCTTATTTCGTATACCGTAAAACATATCAACATTTAGTTTATATCACCTTGTATAATTTGTATGTATACAGCTCGTCTCATGTAAATTTTTTATAGTACCTCCTGCAATGTTTAGAAATTGTATTTATTTATCAAACTACTTGCTGAATTACCCGATATTTCCTCGGCTCACCTTTATCCTTATTGCAGTAAGTCGCTGTTGTCCGGTAAATTATTTTTTAAAAGGGGTACTTCCTTGTCCTTGAAAACTAAATTAAATACTAATAACTGTTTTTTTTTTATTCGTGACATCGAAGTAACCCACAAATTAACAAAAAAGTTTAATTTTCTTTCCAAAAATACCAACACTGTGTCAGGTACTCTTTATGGGTTGAATTTCGAGATAAAAATCGGACAGCGAATTTCTTCATGTTATGAATATCAAGTGTGCAAAGTTTTATCAAGATCGGAAAAAAAATATAGATGAGTATAAAAAGTTTACATAAATCGAACTTGATGTTACATACAATATTAAAAAAAACAATAAGATAATATTATGCATTTTTCAGATTTTAAAAATACCATTTATTTAGATTATAGATACATAATTTTAAGATACACAATATGACGAGTATGTTTTATTGAATCTTTCACGGCGATATGTCTTTTGAAAATCTAATTATTTTAACAAAAATGCATAAACTATTGGTGACTTATATGCGATAAGTAAAAAATTTCAAAGGTTAAAAGTTAAAATGATTTAGGTACTGTTGAGAAACATGCTTAGAGATCATCAGATAATACACCGTAACTATATAGCATATAACATGTATAATCGCCGCGGGCGTTCAACTCTCCGCAAATTACAAAAAAAAAAAACTTGTGTCAATAATACAACAGATCGCTACGTTTTGTTTTCTAAGAAGAACAAAGCGAATTAAATCATCACATTTTACGAGTAAGTGCCAACAAGCCAACAAGCCTACAAAACGATTTGTACTCATATAATATTTTGTTATATATAGTCATTATAGTCTAAAGTCGTTTGATTTTAACAAGAACATTATTTATATTAGAAAAACGTTTTGGATGCGCGTTTGTTTTAAATTTATACTAATTTAATATTATCAGATATACTATCGCGTACACGTACAGCATAAATTACATACTTTCCGCGCATATACCACGATACTCATGAAAGTAGCTTTTCTATTTACAACAGTTCCTATTTTTCAGTCGGATTATATGAAAAATAAATAGAATATCACATTTCCAGAAAAAAATTGTCCATACCAATCAAAAATAATATTTCATTTATATGTTTATAGAGACACAATAATATACTAAGTTCGTTTTTATGAATTTTTTATATAAAATATGTTATATGGTCAAAATGTGAAGATAAGTAAAAAGAAAAAATGTATGAAAATATCACAATATTACCTCGACTATTTTAATAAAAATAGAATCGATCCCATATTTTATTTCTCGAATACCAACTGCCTGTCTTGTGTTTTACATATGAATATATGTTATGTAGGCATAAAATAGGTAGGTATATCGTATAATTTTGTGATAACATAAACATAATGTATAATATTAGATAGCAGGTCAGTCGTCCAGCGCAAGTATATTTTTATCGGTACCAAATCGCGGACGACACATTCCAACACGTGGTGTTCCGGGAGAGGGGAGGTACTCGTCCTATTGTGATGGGCGTGAACGCATAATAATAATAATAGCAATAACAATAACGAAATAACAATAATAATAATAATAGTGTTAAACACACGAGGACGTCGTCGGTCGCACATTTTGGTCGTACGACCCAATTACGAAGGAGACTGTCTCTCATCGTATTATTATAAATTATACAGTTGCACGTCGCGTTATGTGTTTTTTTGGTCTGCTGAAACGATGACAGTGACCACCGCGCGGACATAGATATTATGCTCAAGCGAGTCGCCCCCGTTGTGGTGGTGGTGGTTGACTAAAAAAATTTACAGTCACCTTATTATTATATTGTTCTTTTTTTTTTTTTTTTTTTTATCATTTTTGCATATAGAATCACATACGTACATGTGTACATGTGTGAACTAAAAACCCGGTAGAAAGCGGAAGAATTGTTCAATAATATATACCTTTAGTATATATAGGTATGCATATTATATAGTGACCACAACGCATTATAATATATTGTATTGTACTGAACCGTGGTACAAATCGGTACTTATGTATGTATATATATATTTTTTTAAATAATATTTTCGAGTATCCATCGAAAACCCTGACCTAGTACCGGATTTAATAGCCGTTTTTCTTTCGTTTAATCGCGCCCGGGGAAAATAATAAAATAATATAGTATTGATCGGTACCTATACGAGCATATAACATCGAAATGCGTCAAATATGCGTCAATATAATATTATTTACCTAGCCGCCTATAGGTAATAATAATTATCGAGTTGGTAAAACGTATACGAGACAGTTATGATATTTTTACTAATTTAATTTTTTTGACTTTATCTATATAGCACTGAATACGCGGTACAGACACTAATTATTTCAAACATATATATATATATATATATATATTATCTGTATACGGTTGTACGCAATAAAAATCGCATGTTGGCGTGTGTGTAAATCATTTGGATAAACACTACATATGTACTTACTACTTACTTTTCAATGACATATACTCGCGTACACATTATTATCATAATATAACGACGCCCGTTGCAATAACATAAAATTATATTAGATACCTACTGAACATGCGTCTATTTATTATTTATGGACTCTTGTTGTGTACGATTTAAACGAGAATAATACGTTTGTAAACGTTAAATATGTCTACGTAAAATAATATAATTTTACTATAACTCTTACTGTTATATGCAGTAGTTAAAAACACCCATGAGCATCATCGCTAGAGTCGAATTTTACCATAGCTGTTTTGATTAATAGAAAGAATATTCTTTGGCAAACAATTAATAACTCTATAAATTAAAATAACTATACTACTTCCAAAAAAAAAGAAGACATATTTCGCACGATGAGTGGACCACTGTTGTAAGTGAAAAATTGAAAAGGTAGAAAAGTTGTTCACAGATAAAAAAAAAAAATAAACATCATCCATGCTCGACTCAGAATCTAAAAAAAATGATAAAATGCGACAATAAAAATGGTGGAAATGTAGGTAGGGTGAAAGTTAAAGTCATCCATTGCTATACTAATTCCACGGATGCTATACAAAATTTAATCCCACAGAATTAATTTGGGAAGCCTGTAGGAGTGTACACAGATAAAAAAAAACCCTCTACCCGATTACAACATGGTTAAATTCAAAACAACTTTAATTCCCGAGTTTGAGATTATTTGGTCTAGAGAAATCCGCTAGAAATGACCAAAATTAGCGGGAAAAAGACACAATACAATAGTCTAAATTTTCGGACGAGAATTCTACGAAAATAGCCGGACCTTGTAGTTATATAGTGTTTTAGACAAAACAGAAACACGCCTAAACACTTTACTCGAATTAATAATATATATACGGTATAAGTAAAACAACTGTTTAGTATAGGTGTGTTACTGTATTATTATTTTGTATACATTTGTATTCATCGTATACATATTTTAGCAAACGGTGCGAGTACACTGAGTAGTCCTACCTGTGACGTGTAGTCTATCATATATTAATCGTCACGAAATAATACATATTATTTAATATTTTGTTATACAATCCTTACTTCCTGTATATCATTATGTGTTTTCGTCTTTCGTATGCGCATACTTAACTCTCGATATAATTAACTAAAATCGACAACGCGGTTTAACGAGTGACGATGGGTACGCGAACAACATCACTCGTCAAAACATGATTTCGTAACGTTTTTTCTTTATTTTTTTTTTCCCCATCCGTTGTCGATCGAACCGTTCATCGTATTAATATAATATTATTATAAATTTACATCCATACGAATATGCATTATCACGCGGTATGCGTTTCATACTCGTTTCGCTAACGCGTATACTCGTAGATATTTTAAAATCCCATCGGTAAAAACGAGAATGTAAACGTCACACAATAGACACATGCGCTACGCCTTAGTGCCGCCGCAGGTGTAGCGGTCGTACAGAATGTGATTCGTTCGGAGTTCACGGATATGATGGTATTTTTACAAAGAGAAAATTTCAAGAAGACGAAAAAAAGCACTCATCAGCGTACGCCAGAGTCTGAGAAATAATTTTTATTCAGCTAATTATTCTCGTATAAATGTGTAATTCGGATAAAAAAAAAAAAAAATCGAAACTGTGTTAACAGGCAAATATATAGAAACCATTCCGAAGGCTGTACGCGTTTTCGATTCGTTTTACAGTGTTTTTTTTTTCCTTATTTGTTCAATGACATTCTTATTTTTTTTTCATCTGTTTTTTCCATGAAGTATAAACAATCATTTTCTATTTCAATAAAAAAAACTACTTTTATATGACTAGAGTTAAAATGTATTATCAGTTTCAATAACGATTTATAATCTCTAATATTTCACAATATTATTATAGCGGATTACAACTAGACCGGTATCCGGAATTGTGTAGGTATATATACTATATAGTTATTAATTCCGATCAGTCCAAAATACTGTATACGAGTAGGTGTACGAGTAGGACTCATACATCGTCCAAGTTTTACAAATTAGCTATAGCCGGAAATTGATTTTGAATATACCGGCGCGATATCGGTGACTTACTTGCCTATTTTTATAATTAAAAAAAAAAAATTGAAATTAAAAACAAGGCCAACGTGTCGATTATTAACGTTCTCATTCGAATTTTGACATGTTATCGTTGTGCATTTTAAAAGCATCACGTGTCGATATGTTTGAGACGAAATTGTAATGTATAATTGTCATTACCTAATGAAAATTGGGTATTATCTGCAAATATGATATAGAGAAAATAATGGCCAGAAGAATCGATGGAATGTCAATAGTTTTACACAATATCAGTTATCAACAACCACCCTGTACATTCGTTATTGAGTTTATCGCGGACATTGATGGTTAATAATAAATTATGTCGACAAATATCTATTTCATCAAATCATATTCAAGGGTACATTTAATTGCGTGGTAAAGTCGTAGTATTAGTTTTCGTAATCAACAAGAGCTAAAAAGTATCTCTATATTATTATTATTATTATTTAATTGATTTCAAATAATTGTGAGTACTTAAAAACACATCATACACCTTGATATTTTGTAAAATATTAAATATTATTGTGTTTTAATAAAAAATAAAAATGATTTCCATAGCGGTAGGTATTACATACCTATGTAAACCGTCAACACAATATCATTAAGTACGTTATTATTATAGCACAGAGAACAAATTTTGAAAAGCTTAAAATCTGTATAATTATACCATAGAAAAAACGTTTTAAATAGAGCACAATATACATTATATTAAAAAAAATAAAATAAAAAACCCTACAAATAAAAAAGTAAAAGGAGTTTTTAAGGCCGTCTAAGCCGGTTTACCAAATCTTTTCCAATTTTGTAAAATTTTAAAATTTATTTTAACATTTTAATGACTACCTTAAAAATAAGACTTGTCCACTAATCTACTGCCCGGTATCCATTTATGCGGAAGGGATACGGCCGGTTTTTAAAAACGAAAATGACTTCACGGGAAAAACTTTCACGCCTCGTAAAACGCTCCAATTTCAATATATTTTTTCTTTCTTTATTTAAAAGAATACAACTTTTTACTAGTCATACTGAATTCCAACTATTGATTAATTTATATATAATGTTAAAAAAAAATGATAAAAATTAAAATTTTTAAGTAGCTTATTAATACAGTTTTAGGAATTTAATTTTTGAAAATTAGAGTTTAACGTGATCTTCAAAAAGTCTTCCTCTTTCAAGTAAAACAAAATTTTTTTAAAAAAACCCATCAAGTATAATAATTTTACGGCTCGTAAGAGTGTTCCTCGCGAGGCACATTTTCGTGCAAAATATAAGGAAACTCTGACAGTCTTATTCTTTTTTTAATTACCAAAATAAAAACATCCACACGTTTATTTATCCATCAGAACTTTTATAATATATCGGTAGAAAAAACCCTTTATACGCGATGTTACGGACTCTGATATGTTATGATACTACACATCTGTAACATTTTGTCGTAAGAATTTGTTGATTTCTCAAACATTTCACCCAGCTCGAAACTCGCCGATATAATATTAATCTTCGAAGCGTAACAATATTGTATCGTTACGTATATTATTAATATCACCGGTTGTATTATACAATATTCATATCCGCAGCTGCAGTAGCGGGCAATAATAATATAGCGATACGGAATTTGCATTAATCGATCTCGTATACATTTGCGTACGAGTATAATATTATTATCATTCAAATATTATTATGTGTATCGAAGCGGCCGCGCGTTTTCCAGTTTTCACTTTCTCACGAATTCGTATACACAACCGCCGCTACCCTCGGGGCGAACCCCGTGTGTGCCGTGATTGCCGCGAACCACTTTCGCGCGCGTTCGGTCATCGAATTATGTTATCATTACGGTATTATCGCGTTATAATAATAATAATAATAATATGTATCGTGTATATAATATGGCGGGTACAACAGTGTTACGCGTGCGGGCGACTCGACATGATAATAATATTATAATATTCTAAACGAGCCGGTTATCGTCGTGTATACGCTGCTCTTACCATATAGGTATGCGCGCGCGCGATAACGGTAGTTGACCGACGGGTTCAAAAAATTACACGGTAGTCGCATACCGACATATAGGTATGTACCAACGGCGGCGGCGGCGGCGGCGGCAGAAACAAATTGGTGAAAAGAATTCGGTTCGGCGCGCGTTCGTCACAATACCTACTTAAATAATCGGTCTCCCCCCTTCCCACCTACCCCTTTCGTCCGTCTGACATCGGGTTTTGAGAGAAGACTGCGAAATCGCAGTTCGAATGCAGCAGTTGACGTACATCATCGTATTAATATTATACCATACGAACATTGTAACGCCGACGCGTATATTTTAATATATGAGTAAAACCGCTGCAGATTAGCGTATCGGTAGTTTTACGAGATATGTGACGTGTAAAACGTGAAACGCGTGCCGTTTTTCAAAACGTACGTGTGCGTATTGAAATCTAAACCAAACACCAAAAACTTCGGGGGGGGGGGGGGGAAAGTATGTTTTAACACGTTGAGGTTTACGAGCCCCGGATGTCGGTCTCACTTGTATCTTTGACCGAAACGTACAAATAATTTTGGTGAAAAAAATCGTCCGAGAGACTATGGAATTAAAACAAAAAAAAACGTAAATTATTCCGTGGCTATAAGAACCGAAATAAAATGGCAAGCGACCCTGCAGAATTTGAATCCGATGAAAAACTACCGGACTCATTATTGACGAGTGTCGCGTTCTTGAAATCTTGGATTAGAAACATCGTGAAATCCAAACGAAGTTCTCACTGCGTATTACTTCAAATTTCGATAAGGTTTAAATATTGTACAAATATAATATTGGGTCTCGTGCATGCAAAATAAAATAGAACTATGTCGAAAAATCTTCGGTGCTCAACGCGCTAATTACAATCGAATATCATCATTATAATATAGTATAGTATATATTGTTCTTGTCAGTTTGTTTTTTTTTTTTATTTATTATTATTATTATTTAGAAAATTCATTAACCAAAGAATTCGCGAGGCAGAACAACAAAAAAATATATCACAAGAACGCGGAGAAACCGCTGCCGATGCGACGCCTCCGTCGTATAGACAGCGGCGTCAGGACACGGATCTGTAACGTTTTTGTTTCGAATTTTTATTGTTGTTATTTTATTAATTAAAAAGAAAATCAAAACGATGTTTTACCGAAAGACGATTCAACGTTTAATATATTATTATTAATTTACAGCCGGCGACGCACGACTGTATAGTCGAACGATACTGGCAAAAACTATGTACCCGAGAATACTCGTTTCAGAAAAAAACGCGTAATTCAAACATGATAATATAATATGATATTTAGCTGTACACATTATACAAATCACAATATGTCCCAATATGAGGTATAACATTATTATACGCGCGCGAACGTGTGCATTCCATCGTCGTCGTTGTCGTTGTCGTTGTCGTCGTAAACAGTGAAAGTCCATTGCAGGATTTACCGATTGTTTCGTGTCTTCGACCGGTAATGAACTCGAAGCGGGGCTGTGTACCTATATAGGTTTCGAATGCCCTTGTTTAGAACGGCAACGTATTATATTAATCGAGAAAGCTATACATATATATATATATATATATATAAACGACCGGCGTTTGATTGTCCCGCCAAAATCGCGGGATATGGGTACCATCAGCTAAACATACATACGTATGTAATACGCCGAAATCAAATTCGCACAGGCGAATTAAAACGGTAAATCCTGCACTCGGCGCGATTTATTGCTAAAATGACAACCGCACACGATTATTATTATATTATACGCGATTCGAACGTAATACCGAAATTCCAGACAAAACCGGGCGAGTTATTCGATTTTGGTAACTGCAAGTGTATAATATCATTACAGCGACTCTCTCTTTACATCGATAACTGTTCAACAAGTCTGAATGTAATAAAAATTATTTCAGACGAAACGTTTAATTGTATTTCGGTTAAGCTTACACGTTACAAGTTAAAATTACGAGTTACTATAAATGGGAGGGAGTAGAAATGACTTAAAAGTTACCGATAACTACACGGTTTAAAACATTTGAGAACTGACTATACTATATTAGAGTCGACGCTCGGTTTTTGCACTCGTCAAATTCAACGACATATTTTCTCAGTCGTGTTTATCGTATATAAAATCGTATGTACCTAGTCAAGAATATAATCGTCGAGATACGATGGAAACGTATACAGATGGTATACCGCAGTATTGAACTTATTTAAAAAAAAAAATAATATTTATACATGTATATAAATACCATACACAGAAAATTAATCGGAACGATTAAGACGACGACGTGTGTGTGTAAAGAAACATAAAGAAATTATTACTGCGACTGCATTGAGAGATCTGTACATAGAGATTTCTATTTTTCGCTCCCGCAGTGTTCGTATATAATATATATTGTCTGGTAAGTGTCGTCTGCGCGAGTTTAACATACATTATAGGTAAGACATAATTATTATTCCGAAGCGACAATATTAAAAAAATATTTCATCAAAGAGCTGATACTATTAACGGGTGTGCCGCTGTTTTAAAGGAAAAATTGGATGGGAGGATATTATATGGACTATAATTTCATTTATAATTGCGCGTAACAACAAACCATCGAATCTTTTTTCCCCTCGTTGCCTAAATAACCCGGAAATCAAAAAAAAGTATACAAACTATTGCTATAGTTTTAGGTTTCAGAACATAATATAACTTCATACCCCGTTGTGTCCGTCCGTCTGTAGGTACCAGTAAGTTTATATAGTAACAGTTGTTGATTTGATTGACAAGGATATGATTATTATTCGTACTATTATAATTATTTTCTCAATTTAAATATACATTCATAATAGCTAATATAAAAACATAATATATAAGCAGTGTGCTTAAAATTTTTAATTTATTTAGGTTCCAACACATAAGTATGATACACTAAAGTTTACCGAATTCTATCAAAATTGAAAACAGAACTATAGTTTATTGTTGAAAATACATTTAGAAACCGGGAACTGGGCTCGATCGTAAGAGCATTCCTTATTTGTTTTCTATTTATTAAGAAAACTACAAGAAAAATAATAAAACGACCTCCCCAATGCACCAGTTAGATCGAAAATCCAACAAGAAAGTCCGTATAAAGTTTTTGATTGGAGCAAGGTTTCTGGTAGAAAAGTGATTTCCAGATACACACACACAAAAAAAAAAAAAACCATAATAATAAAACCAATACGATTCTCGATTCGCTTAGAATTTAATATCCGTCCGAATAGGGGCAGCCTGTGCGTTTAAATGAAAATAATATTATTAAATCGTACGCGTAATACGGACGTATTCAATTTTTTTTACGATCGAAATGTCACGGCACGAGCTCGGGTGAACGTGCACACATTGTAGGTAAACATAATTGATAATATTCGAGAACAAGGTGTAGGTACGCGGACTTATATTAAATGTGGCACGTTATGTCGCCGCTGCGTGTCTAAGCAAGGCCGGATGAGTCGATTTTTTTTTTGAAAACTAGTAAAAGATCGGTATTTTTTTTAAAAAAAAAAACAGTTATAGGTAAGAGTGATTTTAAAATTTTTTTTTTATTATTTTATATTGACCTCCCGCAGTCGTTCAACGCGATCGATATTATATATATATATATATATAGATGATATACTTGCGGAATAAGGTTTTTTTTTTAAAAAAAGTTTCATTCGGATTTGATTTATGTTATATTTTTAGTCCCAGAACTTAATTGATTTTTTTTTTGTGATTACGTCATACGCAATTTTGTTCACTTTATAATATGTTCGTCTAAACACAGTGTATTCTATAACAACGGTGTGATTTATGTTTGATAAAAAACGAAATTTTGACTATAAATATTCACTTTTCACTAACCAATTCACTCGAGCCCTTTGTCCTCGGGCCAAAAATATAGCTGCAGATCAAACGATAAGATGCAGGAGTGCGTGAGATAATTTCGAAAAATAATTTTTAATTTGTTTATAGGAATGGGTATTTAAGTTTCGATGACGAGGGGAAATAACAAAATGACTTGATCGTTTCGAAAATGTAACCTCGTAAACCCGCGTGGTTTTTAACCGCCGATAAACTACTATCGTCGTAATAATATTAATATTATACATAAGTACTACTGCCCCAGGCTTCTTGCAGGCCTCATGTTGCAGTTTCGGTCCGCCCGCGGAGAAATAACATAAATAATATAATAATACGATACGATTCTCGGCGGATTTTTTTTTTTTGATTTTTTTTTATCGAAACTATACGTTAGCGCGATTTCTATCGGGAAGAAACTATTACGGCGCTCGCGCGCGCGCGCGTTTTCTAAAATAATTTAATGAACGGTTCGCGGACACACTCGTGCAACATGTAATATAAGTGTATGAAACACAATATTATAAACAATAATAATAATACAAATTGAATATTAACCGAATAGGTATGATATCACGGCGGCAGCGGTAGGTATCGGACGAAACGGCGACTTAACGATGTGAACTCCGGGGGTATTGTGCGGCGCGAGTGAAAATCAATTTGCGCGCCTATAAACGTCGTTGTTTTCTCCGGTTTCGCGTGCGGTACCTATACGTCGGGTTTTTTTTATTATTATTATTATTACTATTTTATCGGCATACTCGGTAGTCGGTTCGTTTCCGACGGTATAATATTACAGGTACCTATTTAATTTTAGATTTTCTACTCGTTCGGAAATCGTTCCGGACCGGCCTTGATGGCCGACAAAATATCGTAAACAAACGAAAAACCGGTCTAGTGTACGAGTCGGGCTCGCGCACCGAGGGTTTACGGTATTATATGGGAGGGGGAGAGAGGAGGGAACTCGTGTATTAAGCGCGATTTACATAGTATTGTAATAATTAAGACTTTCGAGTCGATATATCTCGCTTCTTTTAAAAGTTTGAGAATAAGTCTATTATGATGATGACGGACTATAATATGCTATATACTAAAGGCGTAATGCCGTGGATCACCCTCCCTCCAAAAAAAATTATTCAGAGTGAAGTTACAGCGATTATAGGTGGTATAGAGGAGCGAGAGAACCCCCCGGAAAAATCGAAAAAAAGGGTACAAGTCAACAGTTCAATAGAAGTCGCGGAGTACGCGTCTCCGGAATTTCGGAGCATTTCTGCTCATCGACCGAAAATACGTTTTTTTTTTCTCTAGACGGGAAAACACATACAGATTCATAAAAAACTGAATAACGGCTTCCTCGCTCCCTACTCGAGCATCGAAAAAAAAAAAAATCACAAACACACCTCTGTGCAGTAATACTCATAACGGTTGTCACCGTACACTGGCCGCGAATAATACAATAATATTATTATCAGTGTGTCGTAATTGCGTATAAAAGGTGCTCTACTCGACGGCGTTCGCAATTCGTTAAATATTACATTACAGTCTCATAATAATAATAATAATGATGGTCCGTAAACATCGTCACCACCGGTGCAACATTTCACGATAATAATAATGACGACAATTTGTAAAAACGACTGTTAAGACGTAGATTTCCATGTATATTCTTCGCGACCGCAGACCGAAAAAACTATAATAATATTATGTATCGGGACGAATCGCTGAGATTTCAGCACTTTGTTGGGCGAAAAACTTTGTTTTCAGGCATGTCTATTAATTTTTACTGTCACTAGGAATTGTTCGGCATTTTTATTCAAACTCACGCAGCGACGAATGCATTGATTTTACTAAGGTATGCGTGTTATTTAGGGGATCTGTAAACCAATCTGACCGATTTTTAAGTATAGCATCCTTTTTCAAAACTAATTTCAATAAGTCGGTGACACCGACTCGGTTTACTCGGTCGGTTTGATTTTCCTAGTGGTTTTTCTAATAATCGGGAAAAACCAGGGGAAAAACGGGAAAATGAACGACAATAACGGTTTCGTTATTTTTTTTTTCCGATTCGCGGTTAAAAACGATCACAGAGACCTGCCATTTTAACAGAACACATTGGCCGTTTCTAGATGCGGTAAAATTTTTTTTAAAACAAACATACTGGCGATTTTCGAACTATTTATAGGCATGTGACATTGTCGAGTTTTTTGCTTGCGCGTTTCATCGCGATGATCTCTTGGCGGCCGCCGATCATCGGAAAGATACACGCGCTCGTGAAACCCGTTAACTCCACCGGTCCGTAAAATTACACGTACCCGCAGAGTGCACTAGGTATGTATATAAAAAAAAATATGTAATATTATAACAATATGACGTGTTGTCGTGTTTATACATACATATATATATATATATAACAAATATAATAAATAATAATATTCGCGGGGGTTTTTTGTTTGCGCACAAACGATATAATCGCCACGGAGGAAATTTGTGTTCGGGGGTTCAGAGATTGATGCGAAAGTACATTGCGCACACGCGAAGAGATTATGGGTTACCGGATTAACCAGTTCGAATAACCGGCGCGGTTACCGCTATTTCTCGTAAAAATCGCGCACGCGCGTTTACCGTAAGTTCGTACGCCATGTGCGTTTTCTGCAGCGGTATAGATGTGCACTCGGATATTATTTGTTTTCTGTCTGGATAGCGGTAAGTAAAGAGGTAGTAAAAATTCAATAAATCCATACACCTGCAATGTATACACATATATAAAAATATAATAATTGTGCGCCGAACGCATTTTTCAGATTTCCGAATGGCTTTCACGTTTCCATCCCGACAATTATCGGAAATTCGGACACGAAACAGCAGCTTATATATAGGTATATTACCGCGATTATCGCTGTTTTTCTCCCGGCCCACTTCTGATTCACGTATTATACCGACGCGCTTTTAAAAACTAGCCCGTGCCGGTTATGGTGGTTTTATCGTTTTAGAAACACAGCAGTAGCTGCAGTAATAATAATATAGTTATTTTATTTTACACTCATTAACTTGAAATATTACATTTTATTACGTCGTCGTCAAACGAAAGTGGGTGATGCGAGGAGGTCGTTTTCGGCGAAAACGAGAACAAAAAATCTAACAAATTGTATATTATTTGACATCATGAAAGTGATAATCTAATTATTAACGACTTCTGCAACGAAAAAAAAAAAAACAATAAATCCGTATAAACTTAGTGTGCAGTACGATAAATAACGACGTTTGCTCTCGCGGTTTTCATGATATCGTAATCTACTTACGAGATAACATTCGGCAGATAAATAAAACAAACAAAACTCGCAAAACCGGATCATCATCTCACGACACGTGTAAGAGTGTAATGATAATAATCTCGTCACAAAATGCTCGTATAAACGCCGACACTGGAACACGCCCAGTGTTTACTTAAGGGCAATCCCTGCTTGTAACTTATTGACAGAAGCGTAGTCGACACATTTAGAAGGGGGATTGTTTAAGTACAACTTGCTAGGTGGATTTCACTTTCACGTATATCTTTTACGGAGTCATAAAATCGCATTAATAAATGATATTACATGTTTTTAATAAATAATTTGTATACATAATATGATGTAGAAGACATTGGTGTGGCGATTACAGAAAGACTATATGTATACTATTTTTAATCTTCGTGGTAAATAATTATATCAAATATGAAATAAAATCTCTAACTACACATTTTGTTAGAACCAGAAGCATTTAGAGTATAACATATATTTGGCTTGCATACGGCCGAAGAGGATGTTTTTAACATCCAAAACACCCCTTTTTAGCTACACACCCGTTAGTTGTAACTTTACAAAAGGATATGTGTGTCGTGTAGTGGTCTCAGTGTAATTAAGGCACCGCGAAATTAAGATTTTAATTTTACTGATCCATTCGAAACAAATTTTTCATGTTTGTATCCGTGATGAGTAATATTTTTCGAATATAATAATTATGAGCTATACGTATCAACACGAGAATTCCAATCGGTCACGACCGTGGCTGAGAAACATAGTAAACGAGTCTAAAATATGCGTAATGCTCGGCCGGATAAAAAAAGACGGTTCTTCTTCCCGCGAGAGAGGGGCAATCGACTGCAGTTTCGCCGATCAGACACATTCTTTTAAGAATTTTGACCCGGAAAACAAATAATTCACGATTTTATGTATAATATTATCAGTATATATTATGTCACTATTGTATTGTACTATTATCGTCTTGTAGTGCATAGTGTATACGGTACCATAAAAGAAAATATTAACACGTCCGTCGCATTATTTCACGCTGCAGATTAATCCGTTATAGGTCGCACAAAAAGCAATGAAATTCAGTAAAAAAAACTATCAAAAATTGATGAACAATAAATGTACTGAAAAAAGAGAAATTTACCAAAAAATCGAATAATTTCAAACCAGATTTATTAAACGTAATTCGAACTAAGTATACCAAGACAATTTAGTAAAGGTGTACTACTATAGAGGTTTCAGGATAAGCTACAAAAACAATTATAATAATATGATTTTAGTAAAAAACAAATGCTGCTGCTAATCTGCATTAAATCAATAAACAATATATTTAATATATTTTTTTTAGTTTTTGGATAAAATTTACTGTTATATTATACTTACGGACCACTGAATGATATTCAAATAATATACAAGGAAATGTTTTCTATGTTATAGTCTATTAATTTCGCGTTGTTCTTCAGATTACTTTTCGGGCGCTAAACGAGATTTCACGTTTTTTTTTACATTTTTTTCCTTCTTTCTCTTGCGATTTTTCGCATTATATATATTTTATTACTCCAAACACCAAAATCCCACGTGTGTTTTTCATAGTACTCAAGTATGCCTAGATAAAGAAATAAAAAAAAATACAATGTGCGACCGTTAGCACTTTACAGAACACCGGAAACCACACTTAAAAAAAAAAAAAATTCGCGTTTTCAGTGAAAGCCCATCGCCGTCGTCCATTGGATTTATTTAAAACGTTTTTTTTTTTTCACAAGTTGGTTCACACACAATAATTATAAAATAATATTGGGTATAATATTCGTCTCGGCGGTGTTTATTACGTTTCCTGCTAGAAAAATTGCATTATTTTATTGTTGTATAATCATGATTATTATATTATTGTTACGCGTTATAATAATTAAAACCGCGAACTGTGTATTTTTTTTAAACATTTTTTTTTTTTTAATTTTTTTTTTGATAGTAATTAATTTAAATTATTTACTTAATGTAAATCACTGCACTTTCACCTGCAGCGATCACGTAATGTAGTCGTTCTGAATATGGCGATCATCTCCACCGCACCTGCAGCAAGGCGTTTAGTCCTTATGTTATAAAGAAAATTATAATAATTATTGTTATGCTTTACGTTACTTAATGCGTAAGTACGTTTAATTTTTAAATATTACAGCACACGACTGCACGAAATTTGTTCCAATTTAGGTTGGCGATGCCGGTTTATCAAATGTTCTCCAATTTTGTAAAATTTGAAAATTATGTTTAATGTTTTAATGAGTACCTTAATGTCGATAGTACTTTTCCACTAATTTACTGTCAGATACTCATTTAAGAGGAAAAAGTACCGCTTTATTAATCGACGAATATAGATCCATTTATAGAGATAATTGACATTGCCAATTTAATTTTTGTATAATAATTGTATATTGCATTTTTTTTTTTTATTTTATAAAAAACAAAATTCTATAGCTCACATTTAACACCGACTTTTTATTTGATTTCAAATAACGGTATAAAGTTTAGTAAATTGGTAAAAAGTAGTTTAAAATTGACTTTTTTTAAAACATTTATTATAAAATTTGAGATGAAAATATTGAAATGAATATTTTTAGCTTAAAATTGCCTTTTAAGTACCTAACCGATATAACGATTATTTTCAAGTTATTTTGGGAATTTGAAACTTAATTGGGTATTTAGAAAAATATCCAAATCTCTCGGGGCCGCGTACGAAACTTTCGGAGCATTTTTATTTACTAATCGAAAAAGTGTTTTCACGAGAGAACCCCCCTTTCCCCCTACCTACTTCGAAGAAATCTGCCGGGAGTGGTTGAATGAAGCAGCGGAATCTCCGCAGAGAGTTGTAAGACCGGTAGAAGATAAATAAACACTTATTTACCTATATTTAAATGTCGAGATTTTTCATGTAAAACAGATCCGTGAAATATGATGTTATCAATGGAGACGTTCTCATCATATTATGCCGCACCGATTACACGGTCGGGTAGGCTAAAAAATTCGACCTTTCCGCCGTAGTATACATAAATTGAAACACTACTGTCCAAACAACAATAATTTGTGATAATTATAATAATAATAATAATAATAATAATGATTTATATAAGTACCGTTTTCATAGTCCGAGAACATCATCACGATTTTCCATCAAAAAAACATGACCAAAATGGTAATGATTCGTGTTTGAAGTGATTTTACAACAAAAACGCCTGTTTGTTATAAAACCGTAAGAAAACAATATTTTGTGGGAAACAACATATTATAGTCGTTTTTTCTTATCAAAACATAGTGCTTCAGATATTATGTCATTATAAAACCGTTAGAAGACAATATTTTGGGGACAGCAATACATTTGTTCGTCTTATGTTTGAGATAAGTCACTGTCTTAAAAATATCGTATTTTTCTCTTTGAAGGGAATTATTTTTTGTTTTGCGTGAACAAGCGATAACGAAACATGTTTACCTGCAATGGACGATATATACAATAATTGTACATTTATTCCAAAGTAAATTCGATCGTTTTAGAAAATTTCGTTATGTTGTGTTTGTCTTACGAACGTATGGCATAGCATATTTGCGTTAAGCAATAATAACATTGTTTGTTTTATAATATTAGAGAGAATCGACGACCTATTATCAAACTTCGAAGTATAAACGTTATCTGTGTAAACACGTAGGTAAGTTTTAGTTTAATTTTTAACCCGTGATAATATAGAATATATTATGTAGGCATTTTTCAATCGTGACGATTCGCATTGGCTTATACCGCTTATAAATTAAAATATCGGTGAAAAAAAGGGTCGCACGGATAGTGTTCTTCTTATACCCGTATGAAATTTGATTATAGGTCGATATTCGTTTTGGCCAGAAAACTCCGAGCACAAAGTTGCCCCGGCCGAACGCCGTGGAGTGTCGCAAGACGGACACAGCGCATGCGGGTACGTAGTGGCGTAAATATCGTTCGGGTAAGGTGCGCAAACACCACGAGTCAACAGCTGATAAGAACCCTAGCAGAAGCCTAGACCAGGACTCAAGGCATTATTGGACAGACGAGGATCTTTTTGAATGGCCATTTTTTTTTTTGTGCTTATTGGTTCAGCCTTTAGGACCTTAATACAATATTTTACCACGGCCGTCAGAAATTCTAGTCTCGGCACTGCGGATACGCCTCCGCGTGTCGCAGTCCGGCGCTCTTATATCACCGCTCGGAACGTACCAGAACATTTTGCCAAACGAAACACGCGTACCGGCGTACGTGTTCGCCTCGCCGTTTTGGACGCAATGTTTATGGTAATGATAAGACTATTCGTGTGTCGCGCTGTTACGCGTGTTCACAACATTGCGCAAAGCAAGACCGCTATCGTTATCTATATTATGTTATATTTATATAGGTACCTTGGATTCCCCGTGCATAGCTGGTAGTCGTTCGCAATAATACGTCATATCTCCGGGTTCGATCGAACGGACTAAATATTATTATTATTATTATACACGTATTCGCCGCCATAGTATTGCGTGCCGTTCGATGTTATCATTTGTATGCAATAAAAGATCGTAGCCCGCGATGAGAGTCGTCCGAGTTCGCGATTATTATTTCCATAACGCGCGCGCGCGCGTTACGAAACAAAACCGTTTTCACGGTAAACGCCGCCGCCGCCGCGAAATAATAACGGAGTAAAAAAAAAAAAAACAAGTAATAATAATAATAATAATAAATAACGGCCGATATAGTCGATCAAAATAATAATACGCTAATGCACCGAGTATAGAAAAATTCTATATAGTTTCAAACTGCAGATATTACAATTTGATGGTATATATATTATATATTTATAGGTATAATCGATTTTGCGCAAGTTTATACGACTCTGCAACGGTTATATTATATTATAATAAATCCATTTTTTATTATTGATATTGGCCGCCGACGGCCAAGTATTACTATTATTGTCTTTCCGGTCTTCCATTACGAAACGGCCGGATAATTACGTCCGGATAACACGATCACGAGAGGAAAAAAAAACCGTTACGTTTTTTATTGAGCCAAAAAAAAATTGTACTCACATAAATCACTAATACACCCGTAAGTACAAGAGCTCTGTCAGTAGAGCTAAATTTCCCGCCACCTATTTTTGTATTATAGAAATAATTAATTCTTTGTAAAATGATAAACAACCGAATATTATACATTTAATACTATACTATAATTATACTTCTACAACAACAATACCACGTCACTGTGCTCGTATGTAAAATATCATCAAAGATGTGTTAAATTTGTATTTAATTTTTATTATTAATATCCACTAGTTGTTGTTTATCTTAATGCAAACATTCGTCCAGGCCAAGAGATTTGTGTCATTTCTTTTCGTATTTTGTATTTCGAGACCGTCCTCGGTAATCTTTACTATATCGATGTGCTTTAACATTCAATACTATACTATTAATACTATTGTTATTTCTATTTAATCAGGTCCCACAGAATATTCAGATTTCGAGAAATTCGCTTTGAAAGTAAATATTATCTAAGATTTGTTAAGATTTGCTTCCGAAATTCTTAGGTTTTACAGGAAACGCATGTTATTTCGGGGTCTAACAATTCATGATTATTAAACTTTAGATGTGAGTTTGAGCTCATTTGGCCTAGAGAGAGCTACTAAAAGTATATAAAAGTAGCGGGAAATAGATAAAATATGATGGCCACAACAATGAACCAGAATGATTTAAAATGATATATACGAGAAAGCTCCCACGAAGTTTTTGATTAGAAGACAATATGTCTTTTGTGTAAAAATCTTGGCAACAGACGGGGAGAAAAAAGGCGATACTGTTGAAAAATGTGTTACTGTTTTAGGAGACAAATTGGAAGGAAACATATATAGAGTAATTTAATTTATGTCTATATGCAACGATAATCAATTGCTCACGGAAAACGATTCTGAATAGATAGGAATTACTAATACTAGTATTAGTCGTATTTTTCCCTTGTTGATAGTTTTTCCAATTCATCAAGAAAACCACAAGAAAAATCAAAAAATGACACTACCAATGCACCAACTAGATAAAAAATATTATAAGAAAGTTCCTATAACGTTTTTGATTGGAGCATAATTTATAGAGGGCAATTTATTTGTTTACAGACACAACAAAAACAACACACGACAGTACATAGTTCGCTTCACTCAGAATCTAATAAAAAAAAAAAAATAATAAAAAAAAAAACGATTTCTACGGAAGTTTTGACGTATTCGCACACGATTCGTGGGATCCGACGAACGGAGTGTTGCACAAGGCAATCGAATTTGCGACGCGTCCAAAATCACCGCGTGACACACATGCAGATTGCAGAATAATAATATTACATGCACGCAACGCATCACTCCGTTTTGGTTAAAAGTATATTTAATAGGTAGGTACATTTGTTTACATTTCTGTATTATACTATACAAGTAATATAGGTACTTTGGCCAAAGTTGAAATCGATTCGTTTGTATAAAGTAATGTATACGTGGAAACAAATTTTTCTCACGGGCGTTCCATTATTAAAAACGAATGCACACACACACACACACACACTCACCAACAAAACGTATCTCTCGTTTGAATGATGAGGTACCTACTACCTACATTCGTACAAAATACATTGTGTACGCTACCTACCGTAACCCCGTCGTCGGTGTCGTACACTCGTACCACATCATATTGGTACTGGCAGAAAAAAATAATTTGTTCAATGTAATTTCATTTGATACAACGAAATAGTGATAAATTACATACACGATTATCTGTCTGGCGAGGGTACATTATTAGGTATACTTATACTTGGCAGAGTTATCGCCAAAAAACAACTGACAATTTATAACCTTTAGAGGTATTGGATTTGGAAAATTGCTTCCTCAGTGCGGATGTTATAAATAAATTTGGCGAACTTATGTAAAAAATTGTTGGTCTCTAAATCTCACGGTTCGCAAGGTTCGGGTCGATGACAAATTTGCAGTTGATTGTATTACATTATTAGTTATACTGGACTTACGTCTACATCGTATAACGAATTTTCAATCGATACATTGGTTAATTTCAATGTCAACAAAATAGTAGATTTTAAATATCAGATTGGGTATTGGTTTTATATCGGTGTAGGTATCAAATATTGGAAAAAAATGTAATATCGGCTCACCATTATAATTACTAATTAGTTATACATAGTTGGTTATTTTATATTTTTTAGTTGGTAAAAATTCTCCGATATTTTTACTGATTACCTTAAATTTTTGATTTTAGCAGTACTTAATTTCTATATTTGAAACGTTTTTCAACATTTCCCACAATTCACCACATTTGACCAGCAAAATCGAGGTTTTTTTTCCAATTATTCACGTTGTTTACATTAGTATACGTCATATATATTTGTTCTTTTCGTCTTTCTACCTTTAAATAAGTTCAGCCTAACCATGGTGCAAACTGCGAAGTATATCGGTTTTTTGTATGAGTATTTATAAATATTATACTACCACCTTTCGAAGTATACTTTTAGCCACCGACCTAATACAGGGTCGAAAACCTCACCTATAATGGGCGTATGCAAGGCAAAGAAGTACCACAATGACCTCGAAACAACCCGCCACGGACGCGAACAAAAGACAAGCACGGGGAGCAAAACGAAAATACGTAATAATATAAAACGTACCGTCGTCGGCGAAGACTTTTTGATCGACGTGACCGGTTGATTGATGACTTCCCCCAGCTCCTCTCTTATCCGAAGCGGATTCAAACTTCGCCGCCGGAAACGGGTTAATATTATCGTGATGTATAGTCGTAGGTATATACGGGTCCAGAAAACGGCCATTAATAATTAGTGATGACGTTAAGGTTTTCGAAAATTGTTTTTCGGAATTGCCGTCGAAGGTCGGCGGGCCGACTAGTTTTTTTAGGGAACGGTCCAGCGCGGCGGCGGTAAAAGGTCACGTGACGAGAACAACGAACGACATCAACGACTACGGAAAATGTACGCGATTACGATTTAAAAAAAATAAATAGTAATAATAATAATTTTGTCTAAATTCCCCGTATTTAAAAAATAATAAATAAGTTTTATTTATCTGCTCACGAATTCCTGGTACAATATTTCAATTTTCAGCCGTGAAATCGTGGGTTCGGTCGACTGTTTCGGCGATCCTGCAGGACGGCAGGCATACAATATTTTATTTTCTAGTGCAAAATAAATCTACATTTTTGCCATTTTATTTTTATGACATCTTATACTCGTGTATGTACCTACGATAACGATTTACCTCACAATATTAAGGCGTTAATACAAACTCCTTTAAAAAAAAATTAATTCAACTGATGGATGTGCCACCGTTTCAGGAAGGAAGTTCAAAGAGAGGCTATCTGAATTCTGAATAGAGTTTTATTAGTCGTATTTTTTCCTCTTGTAGCTAAAGTAACCCAGAAATCAACAAACATCGTACAAAAAATTATTATTTTCCTTATTTAAAAAGAAACTACTAGGAAAATCAAAAAATAATATCAAGATCTAAAGTTCTACAAACAAATTTTCTATAAAGTATTTGATTGAAACAAGATTGCTAGTAGAAAAGTTGTTTACAGACACACAAAAAAGAAGCAACATAGTAAAGTAAAACCAGAGCTTCTCTCTGAATTTAAAAATCGATTTTATAATGTATTTGTTTACGTTTCCGACTCGAACAGAAAAATGAACTTGAAATATTAAATAGGTAAAGAGTAAAAACCGTGTTGTTCAAATAAGTCACTATCTATTATTGCCATATTAGGTATACGTTTCTGATAAATAACACCCAAGGTAAACAGACCGGTTATCCGATATCAATATCACATATGTATCAGACACCAGTGTTGTGTTTTATTTAGGTAGGTACATTTTTTATCTTTTATCTTATCAAGATAAATGAGAAATATTATGTCATCTGAAATAAATAATTGAACTACCTAGATACATTTTTTTAAACCGTAATATTTATACGAAATTATAGGTAAAATATTTAATTGAAATTATTATATTTTAATAAATTAGTTACATCAATCACACAATAACCTTTATGAAATATAGATGTGTACCAAATCTGAAACACTATTATTACTTTTAGTCAAACATTTAGTTGTATAATAGGTATAATGAACAAAATTATTTCTAGATAATTATTCCAGCAATGACCTAGATATTTTACAATTTATCTTTATAAAACACTGATCGACAGTAATCGATATATAAAATTAAAAATTAAAATACGACGAAGGAAATGTTATATGTATTAGTGATTTTAAGTCAAAAAGCAGTATTATATTATCAACTACATTATTATTATTATCCACGCAAAATACACTTTTCGGGGTAGACTTTACCAGTAGCCCCCAAACTACATATTATATCGTTAAATCGTAGCAATTTGTTGCTACACGTTGCATATAGCTGATGGGGGTTTAAAAGGATCATAGGGTTGTATTGTAACGGTTAAGTGCTCATATAATATGTAGAGAGTTGATACTGTGATAGGTTAGTGATAGGGTACTCTTAATATGGTTTTTTATTTAGATTGCCCACATTAACAACATGTATGTTTTCTACAAAACAATTTGCTCACGTGCCGTTTTTAAAAATGAACATAATTTCCGAATTTTTATATCACGAGTTTCAAATAGGTGAGTGTCGGATGATTTTTATAATCGGCCGCAATTTTCGTTTTTTATAATAGGTAATATAATCAACGAAAATCGTCTGCCAAAAGTCGATCGACCGGTTCATCGATTGTAGGTAAACATAATAAATATTTCGTGATGTTTTATTAAACTGGCGTTTTTTATTTCGGAAAAATCCAGTTTTCACTGTTCATATATATCTTTCTGTAAAAAGTACCACACACGTATATCGTGAACTACAAATATTTCATAAAATGTTGAATTTGTACGACTTTAATAGGTACTTAAAAATGTATACGTTTTATTTTGACCGATAGTGACCGATCAAAAGTATATACAGAGTGATTATTTTGTTACGTTTCAACGATTTTCCTCGAAGGTTCACGTAAATTTGATTTATGTTTTTTTTTTCAATCCTTATCGAATTGTTTAAGCTTTATTTAAAAATGTTTACCCTTACCCCTAAGTGTACTTTAAATGAATATTAACGTTTGATTTTAAAATTAATACCCCTTCTGTTTTTCGATGTGAAAAAAAGAATACTTTACAAAAAATGTTGATTTGCATATGTATACCCTAAAATTGGATTTTTACCGTTTATTTTATAGGTAATATAAGAAAATTATGTAGTTTTTCAACACGTTGGAACTCGCTATCTAAGAAATACACCTAACCTCAAAAAATAAGTACTATTTATATAGTATAATTTCATTTAAATAATTATATGAGATACAAGTTCGATTTTCGGAGAAATTAAAATCGAAAAAAGCGGAAAAGATGTTTAAACGGACAATACATCCGCCACAATGTTCGAATCGAATTCGACGAACAATTGAAATAATTATTTATAAATCACTTTGTCGGACGTTCAATATTGGTAAGTCGAAAGATCATACTACTTTCAATGATTAGAACTTTATCAGATTATAAAACTTTAAAATTAAAAAACACTTATTTACTTTTAAAAATTGGCAAAACAACCGAGGAATTACGTTTCGATATTTATGAAAGAAGGCATTTTTTTCACAAAAATTAAAAAAAAAAAAAAAACGGTTTTTGACAGCTGAAAATAATAATGTAGTAAAAATACGAAGGATCGGCTTGTGTTTATTAACGATACGCTCCGTTATATTATTTTTTTTCTTCCCGGGGGCGCCTATAATAATAATATGTGAACGTGCACACATATTTTATTATTATAATAAAAGTATTTTCAACGGCTAACTACCGCAAACACAATGCATGTGGGTCGTCGTTTTCAATCAGCTTCATTCATGCGTTCAACTGCCCGCAACAGTTTCAACAAATACAATACCTACGTGTATAGTCTTTGGTTTTACACGCATTACACACACAAAACAATAAACAAACAAAATAGGTACTGATACGCCTAACGTACACAACAAAACAAACGATGTTAAAAAATATATGTAAATTATTTATATACTATAAAGGTAATACGAAAAAAATAAACGACTATAAACACAGCCGTTGAAAACCACAACGACCGAGTGACCCGCAAGGGAATCACCTATCACACGTGCGCCTAAATATTTAATTCCTACGGACCAAGTTTTAATACAATATTATAGATACCCCGAGAACATTGGCGGAAATTGTGGGGTCTAAGCCCACTCAAAACCTATAAACAGAGAAATCAGTCCCCTTCAAATTATTAATTACTTATTACTATAATTACTAACTACTAATTTAAAAGGCGCTATTTTTTTTGTTTATACGTTTTAAGCAGGCTTTGACCACTTAAGCCCTCTCACAATTTCCGCCAATGCTCGAGAATGTTGTTTTTGATTGCGCTGTTTTACGAGTACGGTATAATGTGCGAAAAAATCGCTTAGGTATGTACTTACATTATAATATAGTAACACTCTGTACACTGTATAGGACGTTTCGTCGACGATTTATTCGGTAAAATCGCTTAGAAGGGTACATTTTCGCACGTATATTTTTGAATATGTACACTTTCGCTGTTTATCGACCACTGAAATTCCGTTAAAATTACCTATACGCTACCCCTTAAAAATACTGGGCGTGCGACTATACTCTCTTAATGGACTTTGTACCTATTCATTTAGCCGCGAGTACTACGACGATTTTTCGTTATTATGCCCGGGCGATTACGCACTTTTTTTTCTCAACACTAATTTTCTTACTTTTTTTCGAAACGAAATTACCGACACTCGTGTTTCGGCCGTGCGGGTCCAAACGCGCGAGAGGGCGAGTCGAGTCACGCGTTCGAGATGAACTTGTATTAACTATTTTTTTTTCTATAAGTACATGTATTACGTTTTTATATGCGGAAAACACTCGGGCGGAAATTATTATTAATTCGTTTTTATAGGTACCTACCTACCCGTGATTCTCAAATTATACGCTTGTCGTTATATAATCATAGTAATTCGAAAAAAGGAAGACAAAAAAAACAGTTAAGTTCTCTAGAAATTTGCGGCCGAAAATATTATAACTTGGAAGCTATTTTAATGAAAAACGAAAAAGGTGCTCGACGAAAAGATTTTATTTGTTCATTTCACGGTTACCACAGTAAAAACTAGTATTGTGCCTAAGTATTGTATTCGGTTTCACATTCGAAACGTTAGAACAAAATTCGATATTTTATAATAGCTAGTGCCCTTACAAAGTATAGGTACTTGTGTTTTCTTTTTGCTTTTTTTCAACAATCGTATCGAGATATCCAATATCCAATAAAAATTATTTCATATCTCAGAAAAATGAATTTATGATAATTCTGATTGTACCACAGTTCGGAATAGGTATAGGTTACCTATATAGGTTTTTCTATCGATTATTGAGTATTATTTCTATTACTAACTTTTCCCGTCACATGTTCGTGAAGCGTTTGTAAGTTATCTTCTAATTACCGCGTGTTTACATAATATATTTTTTAATAGCTACGCATTACGCACACGAAATATAAAACGGCCAGGGAGTTGCAATGGTAATGGAACACGAAAACGACCGATAATTTGAAAATGAATCAATAAAGTATTATTAAAAGTTCTTGTCACTAGCATTTTGTTTTCCCTGCCAGTCTCGTATGTAGGTAATATAGTAAGAAAGTCAATCTAAATTTCCACGACCGTGACTCTCTGGTCGCATTTAGAGCAAAAGGACTTTTTATACAATTCATAAAAAAGAGTATTTACTGCAGATCCTACGAATAATTTGTTTAATATTTGGATTTTTTAATATGTATTATTCGTGGCGTAAATTAAAACACGTATATATTGATGAAAAAATGAAAATATTAATAAAATAATTCATAGGATCCATTGTCAATATACTCTTCTTTATAAAATATATAATAGGTTTATTAGCCCTAAATTTAACCAGAGAGTCGAAAACGGGAAAACGCGGATTGCCTTTGTTATATTACGCATTTACGCGCGAGGCACTAGGCAGACACAAAAAAAAACAAATGTTGGTGACGACTGACGAGGCCCCTTGAAAGGAAAGCTAATTTTTAATAAAATATTGATCTACTTTGTATTGGTTTTTTTAAAACGGGCAGAGCCAGTCCGGCTCGTGCGTTAAGTCATACGGATGTAATATTATTATCACACCCGTCATCACAATTATAAAAATAATATTTATAAGTACGATGGAATAATTTTTTTTTTCTCTTACGTAATAATAATATTGTTGAAAATAGACGAAATTACGTTCTTCAGGTATCTTTACGTTCATCGTCGTTTAACGCGTATATTAGATATATTATCAAAACAAATCAATTTTTACACGAAGCCGTATGTTATAGATGTCGGTATTTATCGAGTATTATCAGCTAATACGAACCGTAACGACGAATTCTGATTATAATTTATATCAGTATATTCCAAGTTCCGTTGCAAAATTGCAGCGAACACGTCAATAAAGCCATAAAACGATAGGGATAACCGCTTTTCTCGCGAGTATACAGGGTGAAAAAATATCATTTTTCGGTAGGGTTTCAATACGCTTTGGGGGCGAAACACCCGACATGTCCAATCGTCGAGGCGATAATACTGTTCTTAATCAAGTTTATGTTTTTCCAACTATAATGATAATATTCTCCTTCGCCTAAAGAATCGGAACTTGTGCGGTTACATATTATTCAACACACGGTTTGAATATTGTATTTTTATTTTTTTTAATTATTGCAACGCATGTTGTCTCGGAGATGAAACGCAGGTACTATAACCGCGACGAAATTTCCGATGATTTCATTTTTGTTTTAAGATGACGTCGCACTCGCATTTACTGTCTCCGGACGACTTACCAAATTTACGTTCAGCAGGACGAATGTTGTGTCTTACAATTTAAATGTAAGAAGACCTATCCGTGCACCAGCGTTGATGTTTTTTTCGATAATATTTTGATTTTCAAACAAGATATGAATAATTGTGTTAATAATTATGTGAAATATCACTGTTTAGATTATATCACGCTTAAAAATTAATTCTATAAGACGCGGACAGTAGAAGCCGGTGTGACGTCCTCTCGAGACCGATCAGGGACCGTTACAATCAACATTAACAATCGATTTCATCGATGATTCCCAGGCAAACCATTTTTGTTTTCGTTCGCCGAAAAAAAAGACGAATTATATTATTATTTTTACGCCCCGGAATTTCGTACGGTCGGCCGAAATCGTTTACGCGGGAACATCGCGTCTACGACGCAGCTAGGTAATACAGGTAATACAGGTAATTATTGTCGTATTAGAACTCGCCGGGAGAGCCCCGTGGCGTTACAGACACGTTACAAAATATCCAATCTTAAATTATTGTAATTATATAGTATGATAAAAATATAATAATATTATAAAAACGAGTGTAGTGTATATGTGTGTGTGTGTGTGTGTGTGTGTGTGTGTGTATGCCGCTTACCTGCGTAATGTGTGCGGTCCCTTTGAGGGTTACGGTTCCCGTCGGCTGCAATTATATTATATTGTCCGCGGAACCCGATCTTCGGGTCGGCGAGGGGACGGTGACGGGGGGGGGAGGAGACGGGGGGAGTAAAAATATGTCGACGAAACCCGAAAAAAAAAAAAAATTAAATTAAATAAAAAATATACTACCGCCGCGCGACGTAGAAAAACGAAACGACGGATGTATTAACGATTAAAATAATTGCCGATGTTAACGCGCAGTCGATACCGCCGGTACCCAAATGCCGTGCGTAGTATTATCAATTACTTATTGTTTTTGTTTTTTTTTTTGTGAATTGCGTATATGATGACGGGCGAGTATTACTATAAACGGACGTAGAATTTCGCGCGCGCGCGCGCACTGTAACCAAACGACGACGACACCGACGCGGAGGCAGCGGACGAACGCGACGGAATCAGTTTCACCGGTGTGCCGCGAGACGAGACTGAACGCAACGCCGAGTGCCGATCGTCGTCGTCGCCGCCGCCGATACGTGCCACGAGGTTTTCGGCGGAGACGTGACTCGTGGTGGGAATCCGGGCTAACAGGTGTTTGTGTTGTCTTCTCGTCGTCGTAACCGTAAAAACCTTCTCGTGTCCCCTCCTCGCGGACCGCCATTCTACAACGCAGCCGTCTTCGTCGTCGTCGACGTCGCGGATTCTCGTCGTACCTATAAAATAAAAATTAAAAAACAATTTTATTATTTTTATGTACGTACCTACGTCGTTTCACGTTCACGAATAACGTCGTTATCAATTTTCTTTTGAAATTATCATCACAATCGGTCGATATTGCGTAGGTACGATAGGTATTGTTCGAAACCCGAAAACGAACACGGTAGACCCCCTACCAGTGGTGGATCCAAAGGGGACGACGATAAGGGTTTTTTGCTACACCTCTTCAAACGGGCGGTTTTCATTTTGGCGAATCAACCCAAAATCATGTATCGTTTGGGCGAATTTATACAATATATTATTTGGGCGAAATTTACACTGCCTTTTAATATGTCAAAAACTTCATTTGGGCGACCTTATATTATATGTTTATAGTGTTTGAAGTTCAAAATATTGGATTTTAAATATTTATACCCACTGTCTCACAAATATAAGCTTACCGCCAGTTTAGGCATTTAACTATAAGTGTATTATGTTCTTTTTCAAATCAAAATTTATAAAATACATATAATACATTTAAATACATATAATAATACAATATACAATTTTAAAAGACACAAAAAATACAAATTGGTTTATTTCCATTCTCTCAAAATATTCTTTCTTTTTTTTAAAAATTATACAGGTATTGCCCCGACAGAAATGACATGAGGACTAAATAATAGATATTGTCACTATTCAATATTTTTACGTATATCGATTACCCTTAGTGAATTTATCATACAAATAGGTAAATGCTGAAAATTATAATTTTTTATCTGATTAGATTAGATATAGTCAGAACGTAAAAACCACTGACCTATGAGTCTAGACGATAAAATAATATACAGTAAATACTATAAAAGTTGTTGTACACTAAATAATATTTACTTACAAATTACAACTAATCTAAATCGTACAGCATACAAAGATAAATTCGCTCAAATGGTGTATGATTTTCACAGGTAAATTTTGTGTCATTCGTCCAAATAAATGACGCCTTTTCAAACACCGTGGCGTTGATCGTTTGGGTGAATCTACCTAAAATGCGGTCCTTTATGCACAGTTTGGACAAATGAGTATGAATAGTACTGCAAAAATAGTAAATAAAATTACACAATATAAGATAATTATGAATTTTAAATGTAACCTATTGACCTGGTATTTTAAACCTAGGCATTTGATATATTGTAGTTGGTCAACATCACCACCACTTCTGTATTTATCTTGAGTTTCTTGCAAAAACTGTCTTTATACTGTGATTTCTTTTCGAAGATCATTAGGGATTATTTTTGAAATGGAATTTATCTCGTCCAAACGGTGTTAATGATAGTCACCCAAACAAACTATATTAACTATAACTAGACGCTATTAGCTATAACTATATAATAAACTGTATTTAGTTTTGGTCAAAATGATTACCTCGGTCTAAAACGACCACCGCCAAAACACCGTAATGTAGTATTTTTTTTTTCTTGTATTGTAGTAAATTATATATGTATCAAGTTTCAATGTGGTAAATGTTTTGCCTCTCCCAAAATGAAGATCTGGATCCGTTTCTTAAGCATACAATGTCTTATTAGTAAGTTATAGAAGAAAATAGAACGATTTAAGGTTTAAATATTAGAATACAATGACAAATTTCACATTAGTTCAAATTTCGCACGTGGAAAAAAACGATTCCAAGTAGAGCTCATTTAAATTGTCCATTAACTAATTAAACATCCGCTCGAAATCTAAAATTGCGTAATTACCACATAATTACGTACAAAATTCAGTTTTATTTTTATTTTTTTGTTTGGTAGACTTTAGTGGTTTATTATTTTTCCTGTGTTTGAAGTTTTATGTTTCGGACACGCCTACTATATAGTGCAAAACAATATTTAATTTTTCAGTTCGACAAATACGTGCACTTAATTAATATTAGTAACACTCGTTAGTGTACCAACTGATAGACAGAAAATCATCAACGATACGGAATATCATTTAAATACTTGACTGCTTCAATGATCTTTGGGTAGTTTCAGGGAAAACAACTAATTGAAATTAATGATTAAATTTCCAATCGAGCCAACAAGTATGTGTTTTTCTTCTTCTTAAAATATATTTATTTGTATTAATTGAATAAATAATAAAAACTAATTAATATTGACAAATCGATACCTTTAGAAAAAAAATGCGTACATTATGCACATGTACCTATGATTTGGAACTAAATTTAATAATATAAATTTGAAATTCTCGTGGTAGTTCGAAGAGAATTAAAATTTGTTCTTTGAAAATCGGGTGGATATCGTTTGTGCATCACTAGTTATTAGATTCTGAGAGGAGCGGTTTTACTAAAGTAAAATAAAATAGTATTCGGATTAACCAAAAACAATTGTTTCCTAACTCAGTACTTAAAAACTTGAAACCACGACCTATATGTTTCAACCAGACTCGGCTTTAGGTATATGTGAGCTAGGCACCCGCTTGTAGAGCTGCACTTTAGTAGGGGCTGCATATTCAAAACATTGAGTCACATTCATTTTATTCATATCAATATTATATAAATAAAATATTTTTAAAAATTCACCAATTTTAGAGGGAAGGGTCCACGAGGTCTGAACCCTCCTCCAGACTCCGATATAATTTTAATAAAATGTCATTTAAAATAGAGGATACCTTTGAAATACATATGACTTTTCACGACCCCTCTGAGAAATATGTCTGAAATCCGCCGTTGCATCTAACCACTTATCTAAATAATAAAATAATAGCGTCTACAAGTATTAGGTACGTTATACTACGGCCTCGTTGATCGTTCCAATTATTCGAAAAATATAATATACATGTTTGTCCACGCGTGATAGCCAATAGTATCGGTGGTAGGTTTCGAACAGATTTAGAAACTATTTTTACTCATCTTTATCTTGTATCGTTTTGTATTTCGTACGATTTTTATCTATTCTTAAATTCATCGTGATTTGTGCTAGACATTCGTTGAAAATTTAAATTCATACGAATTCTTCAGTAAGTAAAATACTACTTGTACAATATCATTAACAGTCGAAAAAAAACCGATAAACGCACATAATTATTATAATACATTCGTATACTCAATTACGCATAGTGAATTTATAATCAAATTATATAATTATAAAAACTCGAATTTTAAGTAAAAACATTGAGCGTATAGTCGACACTCGTCGATGCGAAGTTTATAATCTCCGACAATATTATTGAAAATAGAAGACTGTATACGGAGGATTTGCGCGATGTAAAATTGTATACGAACGCGTAATATTTTATAATACCTTTATAATATTGTAATATATTACGCTGTTTGCCCGTTTACGAGTTTTTTCGACTAAATTTGTACAATAATAACATAATAATATTCCGAAATGTTATCATTTTTTTTTCTGCCCATTACCATTTCGACACATTACCAAACTCGCGTGGTTATGTGATTTTTTTTTTCCATAAATATCTTACAGCATTTAACATATATAATAACAACGGCACAACACACCCATCTGGTAAGACTGGGTTTACAGCGATCACGATCGCGGTTCGCCCGTGTAATATTATTTTCCGCATATTTGTATTTTTTAGGCGTCTCCGTAATACGCGCGGTGGCCGAGCTACAGTAACACCGTATAATTTATATCGTCGTTAACATTTTAACAATTATCCGTTTTATTATATCACACACGCCCGGTACACAATAATCATAACGATACAGGTGTGTGTGTTTTTAAATATTTTTTTTTAATATTATATTATATTATTATGCACTCGCGGCGGCGTTCCGCGCGCGTGTTGTCGTCCCGGTTCTGCGGCCGTTTTGTCAACGTTGTCCAATTTCGTCCGATGACAACGACGATATTTTTTGTTTATTTCGAAACACTCATTATCACTTACACACCGGTGCGTTTTACGAAATTTGTTTTAACAAATAAGAATAATAATAATAATAATAACGCAAAAAAAAAAAAAAAATACACTCACATCATAATTTAAATGGCGACCATTGGATCGGCTCCCAATACAATTTTGAACAAATGGTTCTCAAAATGTAAAGTGATTGTATAAAATATATAAAAGTAGAAAAAGTACGTGACTTTAATATTTTTAGCGATACAGTGTCGAACAACTACTGGAAATTAGCTATATTCTTTAATTTAATAACGCATTATACAGTCATAACCATCGTAATTATACAATTTAACTACTGATTTCACTGATATCGTTAAACGTAGTATTGTTCATACTGTACGTAGTGCAGTTCATCGTAATTCGTCGCAGTTTGTCGCAATTCGTACCTCTATAGTTATGTATAAAATAAATTCGGTGGAAAAAATTAATAGTAAAAATGGGAGAATTAATTTTAATAGTAAATAAATTTAAATTTATCTATCATAAACCTCTCCAAAATGCATTTCAACGGTTCAAATGTACTAAGTTTTAACAATTTTGATGTACTATAAAATATAATATTTAGAATTTAAAATATTTTAACACATAGTTAAATTATTATTTTGAACAATTTTTATAACCAATGAATTTATAAAATAAACGCTGAGGAAGCCAACTCAACATATAAATCTTGAAAGCCAATTTGATGCGTAAAAACGTCAATTATCTGAATTCAGTAGCAAATTCAATAGTTCTGAATAAAGTTATCCTCCTAATAAGTAATATGTACGTAATTCCTCGTTTTCCTCGGAATTTAATCTATAATACTTTTATTTACATACTTAACCTACTACTAATCGGATGGTGACCGCGGGGGTGTTTTAGGAATTTGAGCCATCTCCGAAATATAAATAACCATTTAGTTTATGTTCGAACAATAAATTAAACTACAGCAAAGTCAAATGTAATAAATATATTTTGAATGCTAAAAAAAAAAACATTAAAAACTCTCGTTTCTATATATTATATCCACCGATCGTGTTAGCACAAAACTGCGTGAGCACAAATACAGGTGACGATATAATAATTATTGTTATTGTTTATAATAGTCGATATTAGTATACTTTTCGTTTCGACCGGTGACGTAAAACTTTACTTTTCAATATTTTTTTTACCATCGCAAACGCTCTCATACGTTTATCGGACGTCATTTTCGAAATAATATATAGGTACCTATATTAATCTACTTCCGAAGCATCTATATTGGCTATTATTCTAGGTCAGATATCACTGCTATTATTTACTGAATTTCACTTATCGAATAAAAACGCGTTTGATTGAAAATAATAGTGGTTTGTACACTATTATATATATAGGTTTTCAACCTATTAGGACGGTTGTAATTAAATTTTGAAAAAAAACTCGTTTTTTATTGACTTATTATTACTTCGACTTAGGAATAGTTTTCACCGCTGCGATGTCAGAATCGTTGTCTATGTGCGCAGGATAATCTATCAGTTTTTTTTTTTTATTATTACCATTATTATTTCCTTATATCTCATCTAAACAATTGATAATAGCATTAAAAAAAAAAAAAAAACCACAAGGAGAATCATCAATTAGATAATTTCCTGTATTCATCGCAATTGTTCCAAAATAAATATTTTTAGATTCGGAGAATATATTGAGGGATCTTTTTTTTTTTTTCATTTTTTTTGCTGTCTGTAAACAACTTTTCGAAAAGTAAGACAGAGACAGCGTGGATCACACCGTCTTAAGTTGATGACAATTTTTTCGTGGTGATCAATAATTTTCGTTCAAATATAGGAAAATATGCAAAATGAAATTTTGTAAAATGTTTTCTATAATAATCAATAGTTTGTAAAAGTTATTTACGAAAATCTAAAAATAAAAAAAGGAAAAAATATTCGAATTTTACCGAATACCTGAATACGAACATGTGCAATTTTCCACACCACCTTAGCTATCGGCAAACACCGATATGAAATATTATCACGAGCATTTGCCGTTTTTCGAAAAGCTTTTGAGGTATTGCACGAGGCGCGTTTTTTTATAGTGGTGTCCCCGAGTAGGCCTAATCCACTATGTCGACTATTTTACTGTAAAGTTATTATAAACTAGTACTATATGAATATCCCGCATCTACTGTGTATGTCTAACTAACGAGCAACAAAAAAACAAAAATTATAGTGTTTATATTGAAATTGGTGTAGAAGAGAAAAATACTTCCGGGCACTGTACGTAAGTTTTTTCTCAAAAATTGTTATAAAAAAAAAAGTAATTGGTGGTAATCATTGGGCGAAAAAAAATATGTTATTCTTTTCGTGGGCCTACATTTATATTTTATTTGTACACGTGTAACATACCATTGAATCTTTTTTTTTTTCAATTTCTTCCAGTTCGCGAGCAGTGATTTTAGGTAAATAACGCAATTTGTATGGTTTTTGTTTTTCACAATTTAATTCATCACAAAAAACAAAATTATAAAAATGTTAAATCATCAGAATGTTAAGAAAAGATAAGAAAGGAAGATAAGATAAGAAGATAAGAAGGAAATTTGACAAAGTAATTAGCCGCGAAACGCAGAAGATTGCATACAAAATGTTTTTCAAGGATAATAATTAGCTTAAGAAAAATGTGATTTAGATTGATACTTCAGTTGAATGATTTACCAACATTTTGTAAATGTTTACATTTTTTAGTTAATAACTTTGTCAATATTGGTTTCCTCTATATCGGCTATAGAAATTTATTTGCTCCTTATTACATATATTAACGCCTTTTTTTGTTCAGTTATAATTTTAACCGTACAAAACAATAAAATACATTAATAAAAATACGTTATCCACCTAAAATTACTGCTCGTGTACGTAATTTTATTTTGTGAAATAGAATTTTGATGTATTATTACACTTGTAAAAATAAAATATAAAGATATGCTCGCGAAAAGAACAAACATTGTTTTTTTTTGTTTTTTGACCCTAGTAACCATTACTTAGAAAACATTTGTTTTTAAACTGTAATTTTAACCTAAACGTTACAATTTACTATTTAATTAAAGTGGTTTTGTTAAGTTGCCCATTAATAAATTGAGACCCGTGGCACAAACAGGATCTTTTGAAATGAAGTAGCATGTAAAGTAGAAAAATTAATGCAAGTTTTAATACATTTATATTACTGAAACACTGATAGAATGGGTTCACATAGATACTCAAAACACCCTCCTGATTGTACCATTGATTGAGACAGTAGGTGTGGCATCTTCTTAATATAGACTTAATGTAAACCTGATATAACTTAAAGTATAATTTAAGTATTACTTAATAAAATGACTTAATACCTATATACCTATACATAAATATAGGTACTAATGTATACTTATATGTTAATAAACTACGCTAAACTTATTATATTTTGGTAACCTATACACTAATATTAAATCATCCATAATATACATTAAGAATACAATCACCGAATCCCGGTCATCGATCCGTGAAGTCGTTCGCAGCAATCAGCAGTCTTGACTTGAAGGATTCGCGTACAAGTAAATTGAGAAAAAACGGTAAAAGAAAAAAAAGATTTAGAAAAAAATGAAACGCTATTGTTA